ACAGACACAGGCCTGGTGAGGGGAGGCCTGGCAGAGGATAAATGATGAATCTCAGATGGTATTCAAGTGAGAAAGTGAAATCAGGGGCAATATAAACCCTGGGCAGATGAAGGGATTTCTGGAGGGTGAGTGTGTGTGATTCCCTGGGGTCAGGGGTCAGGAATACTTAATGGTCCTATCACAGAAGGAAAATACAGCACTTAATTATCCAGTAAGGAACTCTCCAAGAACAATTGAAGGTCACTGCTGGACTAAGATCCTTAGCAGGGTGGGGTGTTTTTAGCAATTCATAGATGCTTGCTGGAGCAGTTTCCTAATTAGGGAAGGGGCTGGCCTGTAATCTGCCCTGAGGGCTATGTGATGATCCTTAGCGCCTTACAAGACCTGGGGTCACCCAGATCAGGAGAGACTTTTAAAACACCCTGCTGAGAAAAGAGAGTCTACCTTCATAGACCAAGCACAGATAATTGGCTATCTGTAGACCACCGACTTCAACCTCACCCAGCAGAGCCCCACAAGGTACTGCTTGGCACCTTGGTGGCCTGGTTAGCATTGCCAACTGTTACAGGTTTGGTTTTGTTGTTCATTTTGTTTGAGACAGGGTCTCATGTAGCCTAGGCTAGCCCTGAACTTGCTCTCTAGCCAAGGCTGCCTTCACACTTCTGCTTCCACCTCTCTAGTGCTGGGCTGGCAGGTGTGCACCACCACAACCAGCATCATGCAGAGCTGGGGTGGACCCCCGGGCATTCTCATCCACTGAGCTGCATCCCAAGACTCGGTTGCTGGCCTCATCAGAAAGCCAGGTGCTTACATTTTGAAATGAAAACATTCTGTGGACCAGGCTGAAACTCTGCTTCCTGCATCTTCATCTGATCCTGACACCCGTCTTAGAACTGTTCTCCACATTCTGGGCCTGGGGCAAGCACAGTAATGCGCTGTCCTTGTCAGCCAGCCAGGATGCGCTCTGAAGGCTTGCCTTTGTCTGAGACCACCTCTCCAGTGGGCAGGGGGCCTGCTCGACCAGAGCTGGCATGGTAACAGGACATCTCTAGGGACAGTAAACTGCCAGTCAGTGTAGCGTCCTGGGATCACTCAAGAGGAACGAGATGTCGCAGATGCAGAACTCCCCACTGCCTTCTGCCAGGGCCCAACAATGGATGTCTCTGTGCCCCTTAATAACATGAAGTCGCCATAGAGACATTTCTTCCAATTATGTATTCCTTGTAACGATGGGACACTCATGCTTAGAGGTTTTTGTTTTTTTTTTTAAGCTAAGAATGTATATTTATGCGGTGTTTGTGTGGAATAAATAGCTTTAAATTATCTCTGTCACTTGTCAGACTTCTTAATGAGCATATTGTGCAGGTCCACGGAAGTAATTCCTCAGTCTTGCACTAGCCTGCAGGCCCCAGGTGTCCAGATGCATCTGCTCTGCCCATGGTTTCCCAGCCCCTACAACGTCAGACACGCAGGAGGTGTTCAGTAGATGTCCGTGGCACGAATGAGTGCAGTTCAGGGGAAACGAGGGGAGTCTCGGTCACACAGCCCTGCATTCCTGTCTAGTCTGGTTGAATGTATGAAGTGAGAGGTCTAACCACTTACGGCTACACCGTTCTGCATCTTTGTTTGTGTTTTTATACAGGGTTTCTCTGTGTAGCCCTGGCTGTCCTGGAACTCCATCTGTAGACCAGGCTGGCCTTGAACCCAGAGAACCTGCCTCTGCCTTCTGATTGCTGGGATTAAAGGTGTGTGCCACCACTACCTGGCCCATTCTGTATCTCAAAGAAAACCAAAGGCAAGATGTGTCCAAGCAGGCCCAGGAGCTATCACCTCCCTGGACTCCTTTAGAGATCGGGTTGGTGTAGATGGTGGTAGGTACCTGCTAAGCAAGCCAGCATCTACCATGATACCCTTTGGAAACCACACATTCTTTCCTAATTCTGCTTCCTGGGACATTAACAGAGAATGGCAACTATCAGGGGCAGCCCTGGCTTTTGCAGAGGAACAGGCTAAGTTCTCACCTCAGTTTGCTGTGTGACCTTGAGCTGTGAGAGACCCTCTCTGAACCTCTTCCTTTCTGCACCCTGCAGATAAATAAGCTTCACTTCTGAGATTGTGGGGTTGAAAGGAGAGCATCAGCTGAAGTGGCTGCCCAGTGACAGCGGATTAGTTTCCAGGCGCTGATCCACCTCAGGAGAACTGCTGACATGGAGAGCAGCTTTATCAGAATCTTGCAGGCTCTGGGCCAGGGCACTCATCTCTCTGGCCCTTTTCTGCTGTCCACTCTTTATGAACAGATCCAAAAGCCCTGATCTCATCTCATTTTCCTGTGAGGAATTCTGGTCTTCTCCACACTCTTCTCTGCTGCTCAGGGCCTGGGGGTGGATGGAAAAGAGGACAGCTCTGTCCCCTCAGATATACACTTGAGTTATCTCTTTCTCTCTGTCTCTCTCTCTCTCTGGCATTTCGAGACCAGGTTTCTTTGTGCAGCTCTGGCTGTTCTGGACTAGTTTTGTTGACCAGGCTGGCCTCGAAGAGATCTGCCTGCCTCTGCTTTCCAAGTGCTGGGATCAAAGGGGTGAGCCTCCTTGCCTAGCATAAGTTCCACCCCTCTTTATCATGGGTATTAGTATTTCTCCCTCTGTGGCCCAGCTGTGCTTGGATCCCTAGATGCAGGCAATCTTCCTACCCCATCTCCTGAGCACCTGTGACTGTAACTGTAGGTGTGTGTGTGTGATGTGTGGTGGGATATTTTGGGAAGGTGAGGCTTTGCAGACCACCTGAGCTTGGCCTCTCTGACCCTGGGTAGTAGAACCTTTTAACCTACTAGGTAAGCTCAGCTTAATTGACACAAAATGGGAGAATACTATGCTCCCCCCCCCCCCCAGGAACCATCTTGATCCTTGACACATAACAGATGCTCAACAGTGTTTGTTGAATGACTATTGAGTAGCAGAAGGCTTTACAAAAGAGAGTATCATTGTTAATGGGTCCCTTAGGCAAGCCCAGAGAAAGGAAACTGCATCTGGAATGGGGATGTGCCAATCTCTCTCACCCTCTGCCAGTGTCAGGGTCTGGCTTGGTTTTGCTGAGATCTAGCCCTCAGCTCCTCTGCTGTGGTGTGGAGGGTGAGCAGCCCACTCTCCGGAACAGGCAGACCCAGGTCGGGTGATCCAGTGTGGGCCAGACTCTGTTACAAGCACCATCCCTGAATGGGCCTCACTTTCCCATCTGCACAGCAAGAGGCTCATGTGCTGCTCTCTGTGGTCCTTCCCAGTTCTGACACATTCCAGGATTTGCAATGAGTAATTTCACAAACTGTTCCGGGGGGGTGGTGGTGGTGGTGGTGACACTCTCCACACTTTCCAAACCACCCCGTAGTCTACACAGTACTTTCTTAGCTCTGTATGGCTTCATCCTCACGGAAACCAGAGATGGCTGAGGCGAGGTTTAGGTACCTCATTTTGCCAACGAAACGGAACTGAAAAGCATCCCTGGGAGCTGCATTTTGCTTGTTCTGAAACAGGATCTCCTGCTGCCCAGACTGACAGCCTAGAACTCCTTCCTGGTCTTCTTCTGTGTGCAGGGCAGGGCTATGAGGGTTCTGGTAGTTCTGAAACCTGGGAAAATCACAGCTTCCTTGTGGCATCCTTGCTCTGCCCTCAGCCTCCATTTCTCTCACCCCCAGAAAGGAAACAGCCAGCCTAGAGCAATGTGGTCAGACTTGGACAGAGATAAAGTAGCATGGGCAACGGAGGAGGTGACCCCGGTTGAGAGCTCCCTGGAGGAAGTAATGCTTAAACTGCATTTGGTGACTTGAATATTGTCAGCTACTCTGTTCTTGTGGTCACCCCCACCCCAAGGGCAGGAAGCTTGCAGGTCTTGTTAAACCTTTCAAATCTTTGGTCCCAGCGTTGGCATGATGCCTAGCAGAGAGGACAATACTGGTCAGATGGGCTGACCTGAGCAATGAGAAATGCTGATGGAGATAGCCCAGGGCCTCAGGATTAATGCCTGGCCATACGCACCCGCACGGCCCTACGTGAGGCCTAACATGGAGATACTTTAATGGCTGAGCCTCTTCACATTGCAAGCATCTGCTGCCTCTCTGTTCCCTTCCTTCCTTTTCACTAAGTCGGGAGTCAAGGTCTGGAGCACTGAGCACTGAGGATGGGGCACTGAGCAGGCTCTCAGACATTCCTGATTTTTTGAGATTGTGTAGTCCTGGACTACACAGTGAACTCAGAAGATCTGCCTGCCTCTGCCACCCAAAGTGCTGAGATTAAAGACAGGCGCCAGCCAGGGTGGAGTGAGAAATGAATGAACGCAAACTGGGCGCTGGCTACGGAAGGAATTTCAGCTAAAACCAGACTGTATCAGAGCCACACATCTCTACCCATTTCCCAGAACCCCTCTTGGGCTTGGCTTCTGGGTGACACGGATAGGGAAGAGCACAAGATCTGTGAGCAAATGGAATACGGGTCTTCGGATGTGGCTGAGCGAGCTTTGGAGGTGAGCAAAAAGAGCTTGCAATAAGAGGCAATTTGTGGAATGTAAGCTGAGGAGGTGGAGGCCACAGGTTGTGAGTCTAGGATCATGTAGCATGTGGGGACTGCGGGACGTGCAGAAGCGAGCACGAAGTTTGTTCCGTTCTCCAGACCCTGCCACCCACCGAGTGGGCGGTGAAGGGGGCGGGGCCCAGTGCCCACGCCTCTTGCAGGGCACAGCGCGAGGCAAAGAAGGCTCCAGGCACCGCCCGGACAAAGCCTGCGCGCGCCCCGCCCCGGGATTGGCCGCCCCGCCCCGGGTCCCGCCCTGCGTCGCCAGCCCCGCACGTTGCAACCAATGTCCGCCACCGGAGCCGCCTCCGTCACAGCCTCGCCGGCCAATGGAGGTGGCGCTCGGCGGCGCGTGGCTCTTTCGCGGCAAAAAGGATTTGGCGCGTAAAAGTGGCCCGGACTTTGCTAGCAGCGGCGGCCGGGGCGGAGCGGGATCGAGCCCTCGCCGCGGCCTGCCGCCATGGGCCCGCGCCGCCGCCGCCGCCTGCCTCCCGGGCCACGCGGGCCGTGAGCGCCATGGCCGTAGCCCCCGCGGGCGGCCAGCACGCGCCGGCGCTGGAGGCCCTGCTCGGGGCGGGCGCGCTGCGGCTGCTAGACTCCTCGCAGATCGTCATCATCTCCACCGCGCCCGATGTCGGCGCCCCGCAGGTCCCCGCCGGCCCGGCCGCGCCGCCCGCCGGCCCCCGCGATCCTGACGTGCTGCTCTTCGCCACGCCGCAGGCGCCCCGACCCGCGCCTAGTGCACCGCGCCCGGCCCTCGGCCGCCCGCCGGTACGGACCCTAGGCGCGGGCGGGGGAGGGGCGGGCTGCAGCGCTGGGCGGCGCGGAGCCTGGGCTGGGCCTCCGGGCTCCGCCCCGGGGCGCGCGTTGACCGACTGCTTGTCCCAGTTCGCTGCGCTTTGCTCTGGGCCTCAGCGTCCTCACCAGGGTATCGGATTCGCCAATGATAATGGCTCACGTGTATTCAGCTGGTGCTTGCTTAGTGCGCGCCCAGCAGGATTCTCAGTCCTGCTGTGAGCCGGGTGTTGTCACGTGCCCATCTGCCAGAGGGAGGAACTGAGGCCCAGACGGGGAAGTGCTTCACGCAGCTGCAGGTGGCGGGGCTGGTGTGTGAATTGATTTCTGCTGACTTGCAGCAGAACGTACGGCTAGGTAGTGCGCACGGTCGCTTGTTGGAGGTGAAGGAGGGTGGCTGTTGGAGACCCCTTGGGGACACCCTCCCTGGAGCCCCGGTGTTGGACTGCCAGGTGTGGGCCTGGCCTTCCAGGCCTCCGGGGATAGGCCTCTTAACTGGGAGGCCTTCTCTGCAGGGGCGGGGTGCTGGGCCAGCTGCTGCAGCCCTTTCTCTGCCTGTCCTTCCATCTGCCACCCTTCCAGCCCCTGGTTGCCATGGAATTTTATTAATCAGGCGGACAGACCCCGGAGCGTCTAGAAGGTTGGGTGGGCTGGGCCCCTGAGAAGGCGCCTCCAGTTCCTGGAGAGAAAAGACGTGGGAGGGAGATCCCGGGATAAAGTCTTCCTTGATCCTAAGCAACAAGCAGCTCAAGACCAGTTTAGGCTGGAGGCCTAGAAAAGGCAGCTGAGCCAGTGCGGAGTGGAACTTGGATCCAGGCTGGGGCGGCGCAGGGTGTGCACCGTCAACTTTATTGTGGGGGTGGTTCGGACAGGAGGGGTTCTCAGCAGGAGACTTGGAGCAAGTGGGAGGGGCAAGGCCCAGCCCCAGGAGGAGAAGCTGCTTGACTGCTGGGGGGTGTGGGTGGCAGCTGCCTCCTGAGGCGTCTTGGGAAAGGCCTGTAGCCCCCTTGGCCCAGAGCCCAGTGCTGCCTTCCTTCCGGAATCACCAAGATGCTAATAATAATAACAATAGCAACCACTATTGTTTTGAGAAGGTTTTGTGTGCCTGGCTCTGTGCTAAGCACTTTCCTCACTCAAGCCTGTGGGCAACCTTAGTTTTTGACCCTTCTCACAGATGGGAGGCTGAAGCCCAGAAGTGGAGCGTTCCCTTATTGTTCATCCAGGGAGTGGTGTTTTTTGATTGGTAATGGCCTTTCCTCCCAGCCAGGAGGCCTGCTTGTGTTTGTTGGGTCAGCTGGCTTGCCTTCCATGTGCTCCAGGGGCCTGCGCCTGCAGGAGGTTGAGCCCTGAACAGGTATTCTGCGTTTGACCAAACATTCCATTCACTCAAGTTGTCGAGTTAGCGAGTCCCTATTAAGTGCTGGGTGCAGAGGACCCCCTGCCCCCGTGGTACTTAAGGGCCAGCAAACATTTTCCGTGGGAGAGGCTGACACCATCCTTGAGCTAAAGGCCAAGAATGCAAATCTGGATCCTGGCCTCTGCTGACTTGGCTCTGGCATTTTTGGGGGCCAGTCATTGAAATAAAGAGAGGCTTGGCTTCCACCCAGGAAGCACTTATGGTTGCTTCCTTCATACAGAGCTCCATGCAATTCTGACATTCCTTCTTGCCCTGCCTGCCTACCTGCCTCCACCTTGTCATGGCAATGTGTGTGTGTGTCTTCCTGTGTCCTACAGAGCTGGGGGAAGCAGAGACAGGAGGATCGCCACAAATTCAAGGCCAGCCAGGGTTACATAGTGAAACCAAGCCTTAAAGGCAAATTGGCTGGAGAGATGGATGAGCCATTGAAAGCACTTCCCTCTATTGTGACAACTGGAGTTTGGCTTCCAGCACCCACACTGAGGTCACAGATCCCTGTAACTCCAGCTTCAAGGGCTTTGCTATCTTCTGCCCTCATTAGGTACCACCCACATGTTCACATACACTCTTACATACAAATTTCTTTCTAAAAAGTTAATTTAAAACGTAAAGTAAATAAAGACAAATTAAAATGCCAACAGCCTATCTTGGTTCATTAACACATCTTATAATTCAAGCAGGCAAGAATGAGGATACCGAGTCTTGAGTTCAAAGCCAGCCTGCACTATAAAGACCCTGTTACAAAACAGTCACAGCACGAAGCGGAGGTTCCTCGTTATAACGTAGTGCATGTTTACTATAGAAAACTCGTTTACTGTAAAAGACAGACTTAGGGTGGGGAGCCACTGGTAGTTCAGGGCTCTTGCTTTAGGTGGGACATCTTTATTTTAATATATGCATCGCTGGCTGGTGTTGGGGATTGAACCCAGGATTTAATGTGGGCTCAGCAAGCACTCTGCCAGGCCCCAGAGCTTTTAAAAACTGAGACGTGTTCAAACAGTACGTCGTTATGGTTGCCCAGAGAAGCCAGCTGTCTGTCCAGGTTCTCCCCTAGAATCGTCCCTGTTTCTGAAACACTGTGTTAGGAACTGAACTAGCGAACAGCTCCTGAGATAGTCTGGGAAGGGACCATGTATGTGTTAACTTGTGGTGTGTGTGTCTGTGAGAGGATGCTGTGCTGGCCTGGGCCTTGCTGCACCCTTCCTGTGGGTGGGTGCTTGAATCATTCAGCTGTTTTCACTAGTGAGCATCTTCACCTGTAGTTTTAGGAGCTCGGTGCTAGAGTTATCATCTGAAGATGAGTAACGTGATGGGCATCAGTTTGAGCCCTTACTTTAAATTGTGCCTTTGGGGATGGTCAAGGGCCAGGTTACTGGGGAGAATGCATTCCTGGTTAGTTCATAGGTGGGGGTCTTGCTCCTTGATGGGGCTTTGTCAGCAGCCTATTGGGTTGCATATCTTGGATTTCACTCTGGCTGTAGGTCCTGCTGTCAGGCAAGAGTTCGCTGAGGAGCTGTGTGGGAAAAGCCCTGCTCCGGCACAGAGCACAGGCAGTGTCTGCCTGCATGTGACCCTCTTCCTCTCATGTCGCCCTGTTCCGTGGCTCCCAGCAGTCAGCAGCAGCATGAGGGTGGGGAGTGCAGTCAGCACATGTTGGCTGACACTGAGCAGACAGTGATACAGAGGTCCAGTGTCCAGTGACACTGTTGCTGAGGTGGAGGGGTAGGCGGGGAGGATAGACATGTAATGGCTCTAGGAAAAGACCAGGATTGAGGTAATACAGAGCGAGGGCAGTAACAGCCCTCTGATGTGACTGCTAAGGCTCCTGTTGGAGGGAGCTACAGATGTGAGAAGAGGCGAAATGGATACACCTCAGAGGCAGGGATTGGCAGACGCCTGTATCACCAGTTCATATGAGGAGTGCTGTTGGAGAGCTTTACTGAGGAGAGAGATGTAGAGGCAGACCAGTGTGGGGACAGCTGCGAGGGTGATGGTGTCCGTGGGTAGCATTCTTGGCAAATGGATGTGACAGCTGGTGGGCCAGGTTGAAAGACGGTTTAGTTGAGAAAGGCCTGTGGCTGGTGAGAGGACAGCAAGTGTGGTCCAGTTTGGGTGTCTCGAGCTCTCTGTGGGGTTTCCAGGATCTCTCCATCTCTGTTTCTAACCTGTGCTGGAGGCCATGGAGATCAGCAGTCTTTCTCAAACAGACGCGGGTGGGAATTGAGGGCCTGACACTTGTGGCTGTGTGTGTGATCTTTAACGTAGGTAGGTTGCTTTAATCTGTAAAGTGGAACCATTGTGGTGTTGCCAGGCCAGAGGGTGGAGTAAATGGATGAGCACAAAGCAGTTGGTGAGCACCAGCTGCTGCCATGGTTATAGATGCGTAAATGAGTTCAACACCAGAGTCGTGGCTTGCCAGAGGGACCTGTGCCCTCCCTTGGTGGCTTACAGCACTTGTATAATCTCAGTGAGTCAGAACTTGAGGGAGATTTAGCTGGTGCTTCTCACCTGGGGTGGAATCCTCTTGCAGCCAGAAAGCTCCCTGGTTGTGATCAGAAGTAGGACTATGGGTGCAGGATTTGCTCCAAGCTTGTGACGATCCTTCTCACCTGCAGGGGTTCTCAGCTCTATGCCATTGGGACCCTTCAAGTGTCAAAAGTAGTGATCCTGGTGTCATGTGGCTGGAAGTTCAGTACTTGGGAGGTAGAGGCAGGAATATAAGGAATTCAAGGTCATCTTTGGCTACATAGTAAGTCTGAGGCCAGCCTTGGCTAAATAGTGAGACCTTGTGTTTGTAGGAACTGAGGAGAATAAATAGTAGGTTGTTAGTATACACAAGGCCTCCATTATGTTTGTTTTTGAAACAGAGAAGGCCTCCATTTTAATCTCTAGTATTACAGCAATGATTTTTTTTTTTTTTTGCTGATGTGCTTATTAAAAACCACCAGCAGCCGGGCTTGATGGTGCATGCCTGTTACCCCAGCACTCTGGAAGGCAGAGGCAGGCAAATCTCTGTGAGTTCGAGGATAGCCAGGGCTACACAGAGAAACCCTGTCTCAAAAAAAACACCACCAGCCCTATGGAGGTGATGTTGGACCTAAGATTTGAACTCAGATCCTCAGCCCTGCACTTGGCTGATATCTGTGGTAGAATAATAGCCTCATACGGTGTCCCTTAGGATCTGCCTCTGCATGAACACCTAGACATCCTAACAGAGAAAAATAAGACTGGGGTTGGGGTACCAAGCCCTTAGCTAAGTCTTCTGTGGTGTCACTCCTGGTTACTGGGCATCTTCCTGTGTTTCTGCTACAGGTAAAACGGAGGCTGGATCTGGAAACCGACCATCAGTATCTGGCTGGTAGCAGCGGGCCATTCCGGGGCAGAGGCCGCCACCCAGGGAAAGGTGCCCATTGACTCTAGCTTCTCAGGCCCAGATAGGGGGTGGGCATGCTTCTAGACTCCAGGGCCTAGCAGGCAGCCAAAATGGCTGCCTGATATGACTTCCTCAGGCCTTGGAGGTGGGGAGTTCCCCAGCCACATGAGGAATGTTGTGGTTGGCAGCTGGCAGCCGCAGAGCCTTTTGCTTGGCCTGATGAAGGGGAAGGAGCCATCTGCCTTCCACCTCACCTTGCCACTCTGCATTGCTAGGGAGACAGGCTGAGTGTTTGAGGAGGAGCCCTGCCTAGCCTAACCCCTGCCCCCAGGTGTGAAATCTCCGGGGGAGAAGTCCCGCTATGAGACATCACTAAATCTGACCACCAAACGCTTCTTGGAGCTGCTGAGCCGCTCAGCTGACGGCGTTGTTGACCTGAACTGGGCTGCTGAGGTGCTGAAGGTGCAGAAGCGGCGCATCTATGACATCACCAATGTCCTCGAGGGCATCCAGCTCATTGCCAAGAAGTCCAAGAATCATATCCAGTGGCTGTAAGTACTCACCGGTCAGGTGGGCAGGTAGCAGCCAGACCAAGCCAAATTGTCTGCAGTGGCTTCCTGCATTCCGAACAGCGGGGAACCCAAGTTCCGAAGAGAGTTGTCTTCCCTGGGGTGATAGAAGGGGAGGAATATACAGATCTTGCAGATCGCAGATCCACCTCCCTATTGCTGTACAAGGTGTCCTGTCTGTATACACACAGATGCGCTCGCCTTGCTGAAGGCTTCCTGTTCCCCTTCCCAGTGTTTCCTGTTGGACCATTGTGCTCCCACAATTCCAGCTTTTGCTGGCATCACTGGGGTTGGCCTTACGGATGTCTTGGTTTTGTTACTACTACTCCCTTGTGCCTTCTTGCCATCCCAGGCATCTCACCTCCTTCTCTGGCATATCTGCCTTGGTTTTTGAGGAATTATTCTGTATTGTTTTCTTTTCACTTAACAGTGTGTCTTAGAAATGGTCTGTGTGTATATCTAATTCAGCTGTTATTTCCTTACCTGGTCCTTGGTGGAGACATGTAGGTGTTGTTGATAGATGAGGCATTTTACCAAGCCCATGCCAGTCTAACTAGCTGGAGAGCAGAACCAGACAGAGGAAAGAAAAGAACTTGCCTGCTTCCCACACAACAGTGGCGGCAGCAGACTGTCTTGAGGGCCAGGGCTGATGGATGGAGGGCTGGAGGACTGCTAATTCTTCAGTGGTTCCCACAGAGGCAGCCACACCATGGTGGGAATCAGTAAGCGGCTTGAAAGCCTGACCCAGGACCTACAGCAACTGCAGGAGAGTGAGCAGCAGCTGGACCACCTGATGCACATCTGTACCACACAGCTGCAACTGCTCTCCGAGGACTCAGACAGCCAGCGATATCCTTGGCTTGGAGGGGGCAGGTAGTGGAGGGCAGGCTTGGTCAGTGATGGCACCAGGCTACTACTGAGACTGGAGGTTACCCTAGAGCTGATTCCAAAAGATTCTGGCTTTGGAAACAAGACCGTGTGACACTAAACAAGTTACGTGGCTTTTATGGTCCTCAGGTTCAACTGTGAAAGAGGATGGTAATATCCATTTCCAAGATTGTACATATTAAAATCTCGGGTGGTGGCAGTGCACGTCTTTAATCCCAGCACTCAGGAGGTAGAGGCAGCAAGGTCCCTCAGTTCAAGACCAGCCTGGTCTATAAAGTGAGTTCCAGACAGCCAAGGCTACCCTGCCTCAAAAGAAGGAAAATGGCTTGATAGTCATGACCATCTGACTTTGAGTCCCCAGTGAAAGGATTCTGACTCGAGAGAGCTGTCCTCTGACCTGCACACAGGCATTCACAAACACACCCCTGCAGCATGTGTGTGCGCACACACAGACACACAAAAATTAAGTTCTGAAATAAAGAATAAATTTTAAAAGAAGCCTAAGCCTGGAGAGATGGCTCAGCAGCGAAGAGTACCTGTCACTCCTGCTGAGGACCCACATTGAGTTCCTTGTATCTCTGGGTGCTCACAGCCAGCTGTAATTCCAGTCCTAGTGCATCTGATGCCCTCTTCTGAACTCCAGAGTCACTGGGTACGTGTGTAGTGCACATTCCAAGGCCAGCCTGGACTACGGTATTTCCAGGCTACGAAAGCAAAGAGCAGTATGCTGGTGTATACTGGTAATCCTGGGGCCAGGTGTTCGGTGGAGACTCAAATATTCAAGGCCAGTTGAGGCTGTGTAGTCTCAGAAAGTCACAGGCCACTGGAGTGTGAGACCCTGTCACCAGCAAGAAAAGCTGGTATCTGTAATGACAAACCTTTTCTTTTGGTCATTGATTTAGTGCCTGATCATAGCTTTTTTTTTTTTTTTTTTTTTTTTGAGACAGGGTTTCTCTGAGCAGCTTTGGCTGTCCTGGACCGAGCTGGCCCTAAATTCAAAGAGATCTGCCTGCCTCTGCCTCCCAAGTGCTGGACTAAAGGTGTGAGCTACCATGCCATGCTCTAATTAGCTTCAAAGTTCAGATTATAATTAATTCACAAAAAGAAACTTCATTAGAAAATGTGAATACCGTTAATTAACAAATCAGTTTCCATCTCCCAGCCTGGAGACCTGTTGAGTATTTTATGTGGAATTATTACAGGCAGCCATTAGTTTGGAATTGGATGGGTAGATGTGGCAGTTGAAGCTTAGAAATGAGATTCTGAGTACCTACTATGTGTCAGGCCCCGGGATGAGGTAGCCAAAATAGGAGTGACTAGAGGTGTGGGCTGAGTCAGTGGCTTCTCCAAGGTCAAGTGGTCCTTGACTCCCCCAAACCCTGGCCTATGTGACCTGCCAGGACCTTCGAAGCATCGCAGACCCTGCAGAACAGATGGTCATAGTGATCAAGGCCCCTCCCGAGACCCAACTACAAGCTGTGGGTTCTGCGGAGGTGAGACTCAGGACACCCTGACCAAGACAGGGTGGGCTGGGCTGGTGGTCAACTCGGCCTCAGTTTACCCTGCCTGCTGCCTTCATCCAGACATTTCAGATCTCCCTTAAGAGCAAACAAGGCCCCATCGATGTTTTCCTGTGCCCTGAGGAGAGTACAGCAGGGCTCAGCCCTGGGAGGACCCCATGCCAGGAGACATCTGGGGAAGACAGGACCGCTGACATTGGCACTGCAGGGCCTCCACCATCACCTCCCTCCACATCCCCAGCTTTGGATCCCAGCCAATCCCTGCTAGGCCTGGAGCAAGGTAGGTAGGGGCAGGTTTGTTCTATTCTTTGGACAAAACCATGGCAGCCCCTCTCCTGCTGGGCGTCCCTAACCCATAATTCCGCCTTCTTTCTCCAGAACCAGTATTGTCACGGATGGGCAACCTGAGGGCCCCCACAGAAGATGACCATTTGTCACCCCTGGTGGCTGCTGACTCACTCCTAGAACATGTCCGAGAAGACTTCTCTGGGCTCCTCCCTGGGGAGTTCATCAGCCTTTCCCCACCCCACGAGGCCGTTGACTACCACTTTGGTCTCGAGGAGGGTGAGGGCATCAGAGATCTCTTTGACTGTGACTTTGGGGACTTGACACCTCTGGATTTCTGACAGAAGCTTAGGGAGCCAGGGTGTCTGGTGATGCCCATCCTGTCTGCAGCTTTGGAGCCTCCTGCCCCGGGCCATCTTTCCTGCCTCATTGGAAAAGCATGATTCATACCCTCTTCTCTGTCCAGTAGCTTCTGGCTCTGCCACACTGAGCAGACCGAAAGGGGAAAGATTTTGTATGGTGTGTGTGCATGCACCCCAAGCTGCACACCGTGTGCCTGGGGTGAGAGTGTGTGTGTGTGTGCGCGCGCGCGCGTGTGCCTGCCGGGGAATGAAGGTGAACACATGTATGTGTGCTGCAGATACATCCTGGTGTGTCCACGTGTGTGTGTGAATCCACGTGTGTGCATTGGGGTGGGGACGGCGCTCTAACTGCACTTTTGGTGTCCTTGCTGCAGGGGCCCCCGAACCCTGCCTCAGCCAGCCAGGTGAGGCGGCTTGGCTGGCTGGGTTTGCAGGGCAGCAAGAGCACTGCTTAAAGGTTTTCCGATCGAAGCTTTAATGGAGCGTTAATTTATTTATCAAGGCCTCTCTGGCAAGCCTGGGGAGTGAGCAAAGGGTGGGAGGATTGTGGGGTTGACACCCCAGCTTCCTGTACTCTGCAACAAGGGCAGGGTTCCCTAACTGTTCTTTTGCCCTACCCCAAAAGAGCTGAGGCCCAAGGAGTTTTATTTATTGGGAAAGGGGGGAGGGAGTCACTGACATCCATGGATGGGTTGGGAAAATGGTCCCTCTTTAGAAGGTTGTGCTATCGCCTTGGCTGCATCCATGTGGGTTTGAGATGGGAAGCGTGAGGGCCTTCACTGACAGGGTGGACAGGATGGGTGGGCCTGGGGTCCCTCCTGTGGTTGGAGTGCTCTGTTATCCCTGCCCACCCTCCAATCAGCACTTTTGATTTGTTTCCTAACAGTTCTGTTCCCTCCTGCTTTGGTTTTAATAAATATTTTAATGGTGTTAGGGCTGGGTTTGGGACTCTACTCTGCGTGAGGTTAGGGTCGGAGGGGAATGCTCATTCCCTGTTCCTGATTTAGTTTCCTTTGGGTTTGTAAGCCCTTGAGAGAACACTGACTCTGAACTGGGAGAGTCAAGCATGTTAGCTAAGTGCAGGGAAGGGAGAGTTAGAGCCAGCTTGCTGTGCACTTACTGGGCGTTTCTGAGCATTAGTAAACTGCACACAGAGAACTGTATTGTGTCTTATGCTTTCCTGTATGTGTGCACACGTGTGAGTGCTTGCACCATGCGTTCCCGCCCTCTAGGCCTGTTTTGGAATTGAGGCGACCAGGGAAAGTTTTCCTGGAAGAGGTGCAGGGGGCAGAGCTCTGGGAGAAGGGAGGGGTGACTGGGAATCCGTGACTTGGATTAAGCTCTAAGTGGAAGTCCTCCGAACAGTGTTGACAGTCTTGGGGGCCATCTATTGTCCTCATTTGGCAGGGACGTGGCCAGATGCCCAGAGATGAAGAACGTGCGGGTTTGACCTGCTATGGCTTCTCACTTAGAGCTTTGCCTTCCCGCGCCAGACTGGGTGGAGCGCCTGGTCCTGTGGGACCCCTGGCAAGCTGTCATTGCCGGTGACCCCTGAGTGGCTCTTTACTTCACCCCTTTTGGAAGACTCTTCCAGGCAGGGAAACCGAGGCCAAGTGGGGGCGGGGCGTGCGCCCATTGGCCCAAGCACGGCCCCGCCCCCAGCCAGCCTGGGCAGCCTGGGAACCGCAGCCCGCAGCCTTGCAAGCCTCCGAGCCATGGCGTGCGCCGGGCTGCTCACTGTGTGCCTGCTCGGGCCACCTGCCCCCCAGCCGCCGCAACACTCTGCGCCTGCCGCGGGACACGCGCTTTTCCAGGACGTGAGTGGGGCGCCGGTGGGCGGGCGCCGGGCTCCCCGGTTTCGGTCCTCCGTGTCCCTGTCTCCCGCCACATCTCTTGGTCCTGCTTTGGTCCCTCTCCCAGACTGCGATCCTGCTGTTTTGATCCTCCTGTTTTTGTGTTCCTTGTGTTGTCTGTGCTGCTCCGTGTCTCTCTGTGTCCCTGGAGTGTTACTGCCCCTCACCCCAAATGTGCCCAGTGGGGCTAGGGGCTGTCAACGTTCAGTCACAGCAGCCATCACCGACCTGCTCCATGGCAGCCCCTGCTGGGCTGATAGGACACAGGAGCCTGGATCTAGAAGGAGGTCTGTCCTGCCCCAGAAGCCTCAGGCCTGATCTCTGGGTGGCAGAGTCCTACAGTTGGTAAGGGACTCCTCTTGTGGGCAGCAGGTGGCCTTGAAGCCCCTTTTGTGGCCATAGAACATCTTGGCCTGCCTCAGTCACTGCTCTGAGCCCACCCCCAACCCTTAGCTTTTACTCTGTGCTCAGCCAGTCTGGCCTCTCCTACCCCTACTCCAGAGGTCCCTGCCAGTGGGAGAGGCTGCCATGCCCCCTCCCCGATGCCCTAGTGACTCAGCACCCTGACCACGGTCCTCCAGGCCTGAGGAGCCATGTTCCAGGTCACAGATGGAGTGAGGGGGCACACTGGGATGTGGATGGAGTGTCTTCATTCCAAGCTTAGCTCTCCTGCCCCGCCCCCACCCTAATTACCCCAGTCAGGCCACTCTGAGCTGGTGCTGTGTGACTCCAATCCAGTAGCAGACCTTCTCTGAGTCAGCCTAAGGGTTATATTGGTTGTTTAGTCCGGTGACCCTGAGGGAGTTGGGTGGAAGGGTTTTGCATTCAGGTCCCTGGGCTACGGAGGGTTCTGTCTAGGCCTTGAACCTGATGCCCTTTGCTCAGCTGCTGCGGTGGACTGGTTCCTGGTAGGGCAGGAACTTGAGTATGCTGCTGTGTCTCTTTCATTATTGCCTCTACCAACAAAATGTGCTGACCCTTGCTGTGTTCTTTGCCCCTTACACTAATGTGTATACACATATGCCCATATTCCTTGTGATGAGTTGGCCTTATAAGACACTCCAGCCCTGAAAGGGTTAAACTCTAGGCTTCTGCTTCACATTCTAGAGGGGAAACTAAAGCACTCACAAAGGGCTAGCCACTGCCTGCTAGTCTTCAGCAGGCACAAGGGGAGAGCCTGTTCAGTGAGGGTGGACTGAAAATGGATTCTAGGAGGACACTTAGAAAAGTCGGGGTTCAGATATGATATGGCTTCCAAGGCTCCTCAGGGTGGATCTTGGCCCATCTGTCCAAGCTTCCTCAAGCTGGGAACATACCGAAGGCTGATACATCAGAGCCAGCTCGGGCTAGACTCCAGCTGTGGGAGGAGAAGGTACAAAGAGCTGGCCAGGAGTACCCACCCGCCGTGAGCCCTGCAGCAGGGGGGAGCCAGCTCAGGGCTTGCTGTGCTGCCTTCCTGTGCCGCCTGCCTCGCTGGAGACTCCTGCAGGACTGCCCTGAGCAGGGGGAAGGCAATGCAGGGGGGCTGGCTGGCCAGTTGGGTCCCCACTGGCTTGGGAGGGGGCTCCTACCTTCCTGGCTCCACTCATAGCACCCACTCATTTCCCTTCATCCCTTAGGTTTTCCGCAGAGCAGACAAGAATGGTGAGTGCTTTCTTCCACTCGGGTCCCACAGTGTGTGTGTGGGGGGGGGGGCGCAGGCAGGGTAGGAGAGCTAAGGACTTGGAAGTGCAGCTTAAAATGAACTCTTGAGAGCCCCAAATGGTAGCTCAAGCAAGGGACCCTTCCTGGAGAGCAGATGATGTACAGAATAGGGAACAGGGAAATGTGGTTTGAGCTGAGGCTGGAGGTGGGGGCTTGTGTTAAGGCAGTACCGCAGCTCAGTGATGGGTGATGGGTGCTTGTACAAGACCTTCTGGTGTCCTTACAACAGCTTGCTGGGTGGAACCCCTCTTTCCATGGGTGAAGCAGTAGAGTGAATCAGTTATCTAAGCCTTTAGTCAGTGGGTCTGGGATCCCGATTTGTTTGATACATCACCCTAGGCTCCCTGAATATGGTGGTGGAGCATTCATTCAACCTTCACTTTTCCTCTCTCTGGGCCTGCACACTCCTGTGTTTCGGCCTCCTTGTGTCCCTAGTGCTTGCCCCTTTCATGGGCTTCTTCAAATTGGTTGGGACCATTGATTTAAGATAGGTGCTGTCAAGCTGGGTGAGGTGGCACACACCTGTAATCCCAGCACTTGGGAGGCAGAGGCAGGCGGATCTGAGGCCAGCCTGCTCTGCAGAGCGAGTTCCAGGACAGCCAGGATGACCTGGACAGATACTGTCTTGAAAGAAACCAAAACAATAAAAACAAAGCAACACCCCTCACTAGCACCAAAAAGACTTTCAGTGTTCTCCTGCGGGGGCTCAGACCCTCCTCATCTTTGCTTATCCCCCAGAGCGGATCCCATTGTCTTTAACTATCGTGCTCCTCTGCTTACATGCCCCTACAATGGGAAGCTCATTCTTATCCCAGCCAGCTGCTGTTTGTGGAGTCCTGCCTGCTTTAGGAAGGCTTCACCTTCTCTGTGACTCCCCTAGGAGGGTCCTGGAGCCAGAGCATGGAGGTCTCTCTACCCTGGGGCAGAGCCAGTTTATGGGGCCAGGGAGTGTGTCCTTAAGTCCTAAGCTATGCTCTGATGTGTCCCAAGATACTCTCTCATATTTCCATTTGGCAGACATCAAGTCCCTACTGAAAGTATCTTCATAAGGTGGGCCCTATTTCCTTCAGCATATACTTTTGGGAACTCTTGTCCTTTTTGTCCAAACAGTCAGGTCCCCCACTGAGGTCAGAACCCTAAGCTATCTGGCTGAGTGATTGTGAATGCTAACAGGCTTTTGGGGAGCCTGGATCTGGGGACAGGATACAGCCAGGACTCAAGAATATCAACTCCATACCCTGTCTCTCCGTAGATGATGGTAAACTCTCATTTGAAGAATTCCAGAATTACTTTGCCGATGGGGTTCTCAGCTCAGCAGAGCTTCGGGAACTGTTCAACGGCATCGATGGGCATCTCACCGAGTGAGTACAATAGAAGGAATAGTTTGCTGTGGCAGTGCCAGGCAGGTTGGCCCAACCCACTGTGTGCCCTGTTGTCATAGATCTTTCTGGAGGACAGGGGGGTTGGGAAAGATGCCAGGGCCCAGTGCCAACTCTGTCAACCCACCTACACCTTCTCTTGTTGCTACACTGCTTCCAGCTGGGACCCCAGAATAGCCAGGCCTGAGTCACCACCCATGTTCAGCCCTTCCACTCCCAAGCAGAGGATGTCTGAGGACAGCTGGGTTCTGCCTGCCTCCACCTGTGGAATGCAGGTGCAGGAATGCACACCTTCTCACACCTGGCTCAAGTGTACACTCCCTCCCTGCTTCTTCGCTTGGGGCACACACACCATGAACATGCACAGCTGCCCATCCCTCCTCTCCCTTCCCTTCCTTTCCCTTCCCTTCTCCCTTCCCTCTTCCCATCTCCTTTGTGTAAATGCAAGACTAGCTCAGCATTCAAGGCTTCAAGGACTTGGACTGACCCTTTGAAGTGCCTGTGCCCCCTCCCCTGCCAAACAGATTATATTTCAGGCTGTGTAGACGGGATGAGGACTCTGGCTATGTCTAGGTCGCCGTGCCCGGGTTTGAAGAGTCTCAAGGCTGTTTTCTCTTTCCCTCACAGCAATTTAGAAACAGAGAAACTGTGTGGTGAGTAGTCCTATGCTGGCCCTTGTGTCACAGGCTCTGGGCAGGTGGGTGTGGTAGGGGATGCTTTGTGGAGCAGGTCTCATGGGATAGGAGGCTGGGGCAGCTGAAGAAATCCAGGTCGAGAGATGGCTCAGCCCTGAGCACCTCTTCTGCCCGCAGACTATTTTTCCAAACACCTGGGTGTCTATCGGCCTGTCCTGGCTGCCCTGGAGTCACTGAACCGCGCTGTGCTCATGGCCATGGACACTACAAAGCTGGTAAGTGCAAGAAAGGGCCTAGGGGGAACCTGAGGTGACATGGCGCAGTGGGACTTTTTCCTGCCATGGCTTGGGGTTGTGGAAATGGAGGTTAGGTTCAAAATCTGGTACTCCCACTTAATGACTGTGCCCTTTATTCCCTGGGTCACACTTTCCTCATCTATAAGCCAGGGGTGATAACGAACAATTGAGTGGACCGTGGTGGCTCACACCTGTAATGTCAATACTCAGAAGGCAGAGGCAGGAAGATTTACTGTCAGTTTCAGGCCAGTCTGTCTAGAGTGAGACTAGACACTGTTTTCTTCTTTGCTCTGTTCCTAAGAGAGTGCAGGCAACATCGTTGATTTTTGTTGGCCTGATGTGATTAGGAGGGGCTGTCAAACCAGGACCCAGTAGGCATGGGCTGGGACATAGGATATGAACGCATACATGTCCACAGGTACATGAGCCTTATGAGGCAGCGCCTCACCTCAGGACGTGTGAGAAGGTATGTGTATAGATTTATATATGCCTACCATTTTGTTGGCCTGTGCTATAGCCTGTGTAGACAAGGGTTGACAGCCAGGGATCCAGACCCTTAAAGTGACCAAAACTAAAACAAACAAAACCAAAAACCTTCCCTTCATGTGTTAAAAACCATCTCTGCCAAGACCACGTGTGGTAGCTTACACTTTTTTCTCTATGTATTTTGGACTGTTCTGGAACTTGCTTTGTAGACTGGGCTGTCCTCAGACTCAGATACAACTGCCCCTGCGTCCTGAGTGCTGGGATTAGTTTTACACACCGCCACTGTCTGGAGGTAGCTGATGCTCTGACATTAAACCCCCAGCACATGGAAGAGGCAAGAGAGCTTGAGACTGAACCCAGCCAATCATATAGTGAGATCCCGTAGAGAGGAGAAAATGATCTCTCCCGTGTTCATAGCTCTTCTGGGGACTGTGTGTGTGTGTAGGCGTAGGCCTGGGATTTGCATTATGTGTGTGTGTGTGAGAGAGAGATATAGATAGAGACACACAGACAGGCCTGGGGTTTTACCTGACCATACCTTGTTTTGGTACTGAGGATAGACGCCCAGGCCTTGCACCTGCTAGGTACTGCACTATACCCTTGCCCTCTGACTCCACTTTCCACAGAGAAAGGAAAAATGAAGCCTTCAAGGATCACCTGTACACACAGCTAGGGACAGGGCTTCTTGTTTTTTTCCAAGTGTTGTTCTTTGAGCCTGGCCACGCTGAACTGGCATTTTACGAACTAGTGGTGGTTTGTGTATTCAGACAGGAAGCAAAATGAAGGTCAGTGTTAGCCCAGAGAGGGAAAGGGCAGCCCATCCCCATATGATAACTGTGCCAGCTGCGAACACTTGAATCTGTTTATCTGGTTCTCCATGCTAGGACAGCGTTGCAGCCTCTGGCCCTGCAGCACCCTGGTGGCACACCATCCCTTCTAGTTCAGTATAAAACTCAGTCGAACACTTTCCGAACCAGAGAAGGGCCGAACTCCTGGTACATGGCCCGAGTCATCCACCGGCACTCAAAGGATTGCAGGGAGGCCATCATGGAGCCTCCAGTCCACACGGCTGTGGCCCGTCCAGGCTGAGCCACGAGGCAGGGCTGCAGGGACTGGAGCCCATTACTCTGGCACTGTGCCTCCAGCTCCAGGTTCATGCGCTGCACAAAGCCAGGGAAAAGGGTGGACCCGCCAGCCAGCACCACCGTCTTAGCCAGCCGTGGCCGCAGTGGTGTGGGTATCTTCTGCAGCGCCTGGAACGCCAACGCGGGCAGCCCCGGTTCAGGGTGGCCTAGGAGACTTGGCTGGAAGATGGGTTCAGGGCAGCGGAAGCGCTCGCTGCCTAGGCGCACGTAGCTGCCATTGCCCAGGCAGAAACAGGCCCTCTGGTGGCGGGCAGGGTCACAGATATCACCCTGGAAATCTAGCGACACATAGCAGCAGCGCTTCTTGAGCTGTGTAATGGTCTTGCGGGGCAGGGCCTGCAGCTGAAGGTCAGGGCACGCTGCCACCAGCAGTTCTCGAAAGTAGCGCGACAGGGTGCTGCCTGCCACGTTCAGACGGAAAGTGGCATTGTGCCAGGAGTGACCCGCGTAGATGGGTGTGGCGTGGCACACGCCCGCGCCCGCCTCCACAGCCAGCCCACTGATCGCTCCCGTGGAGCAGAGGGCCAGCAGCGCCGTGCTGGCCATGTGGCACGCGGGCACTGTCAGGGCCTCGAACAGCAGCTCGGCCACCTTCTCTCGGCCCTCGGGTGGGGCCGACGGTGAGTCGCTCACCAGCACAGGCCACTGTTTGGGGCGGACCTGCAGGCCTCCCACCATTAGGCGCTCCCACAGTCCCTCCAGTGCGTCCCAGTCCACCACCACACCATGCTTGATAGGGTGGGCACGGGCCACGCCGCCCGCCAGTTCGCAGCCAGGCAGCCCGGGCCCCACAGGCCGGTCCCAATTGGGCAGCAGACTCGAGCTCTTCAGCACCACGCGCGGCTGGGTCTCCCCAGCAAAGCCCGCCTTGGCGAAGCCCGAGCCTTGGTCCACTACCACAGCAATGTGACTCAACGACGGCAGCCTGCGGACGCGGGGGGTCCGGTGCACCGACGCCACCTTCCCTGCTCAGTGGACCCTGAAGCCCTATGGGCCTTCAGGACGTAGGACTAGCCCGCTCGGTCCTCAGCCCTGCCTCCGGCTATAGAGCCCTGCCTCTTAGACTGGCAGTTCCTTTTTGTGACTCCACCCCGAGGCGGCCCTGTTAGTCAGGACTTAATTCTTCCTTCGGGTCTCAGAGTCCCAGGCTTCCTAGGCAGCTCTCTTGGCACGTCACCTAGCTTGGCTAGAGAGACTTGGCTCCACCGTCCATGGCTGTGGAGGTGGAAAGGACTGGTTCTAGAAGAGAACTTAGATTGGGCTCATTATGACCTCAGTCTTGCAGCTCCCCCCCCCCCCCCGCCCCCCGGGAGTGTGTGATGGCAGCCATTTGGGAGTCCATGATAGGGGCTTGACAAGCCAGCACAGCTGTTAATTCTTTCTCCCAAATGCTTGGGAGTGTCTGTGTACTCCAGCCAGATGTGCAGCTCTTCTGCTCTCAGCTCTAAAGAGAAACCACACATGTACAGCTACTCTGAGGACTTCCTGTGCTCAGCCCTGATAGCCATACAGAGCATCTGGCCCGACCACTTCAGTTCTGAAGCTCACACAGCAACACTAAGCAAGTCCAAATCTCTCTTTGTGGTGTTTCTAACACCACACGGTAGCAATGAACCTCACCTTCTGCACAGATTATTCTCTTGGGACCATTTTAGTTGCAAATAGAAGGCTCAGTTGTACTTAAACTAAAATAAGGATTTTATTACAAGGATCTTGGATGTTTTCTAGATCACAGGGGTGAAATGAGTCTTACGAACAGGCTCTGACCATAGGGTTGTGGTAATTGGAAAGGTCTCTTAATGTTCCCAGTTACAGTCCTGAGGGAAAGGATGGATGCATGTGTTGATAACCATGATAGGGTGGACAGTTCTCCAGGAGGGAGAGCACTGTCTATGGGTCACACATTTTCCCAGCATCATTCAAGCCTGTGGTTAGTGGCAAAAGTGCATCCATCCTTAATCCCATGGGCCTAGTGAGCTGAGACCTTCATCCTGCCATCTCTGGCCCCAGGTGAAGCATTCTGAGCTAGTGTGGGACAGGAAAGAAGACTCATTCTCTCAGGAGTGATGGAAGGAGTAAGACTGACATTGGAGGCCACTGGTGCCATGTCAGTATGGAAGAGCAGAGGGCAAACTCTGAGAGGTACTGAGGGAATACAGGATGGGGAACTGGGGGTGAACACCCCAATTTTAGTTTTGGGCTTTGAGGGGTCAGTGGAGAGACTGTAAGAATGATGACCAGGGAGGGATAATGAATTTGCCCTAGACAGAAAGGGGTTTGGAAGAAGCTTTTCACTACAAATCGGGTAGAGGGTGGAAGTGGGTACCTTGGGAGAAAACTGATTAAGGGATCCTAAAATTTGGGGGACGGATGCTTGGGAATTACCGTCTACTGTCAGGCAGCAGTGAGACCAGAAGCTCAAGCCCCTCTGTGTTAACATTAGAGAACATGAAGTTCCAGCCCCACCATGTCTGACCAGCCACGTTGTTTTTCTTGGTTATGATGTCTGTCAGCAGCCTAGGACCTTCCCTCCTCCTAAGAGGGATTTTTGAACATTGGGGACTCTTGGAGACCTCAAGCCTTTGCCTGAAACAAGTTCTTAGTGTTGCCGAGCAGTTTACTCAAGCCCGTGTTTACTTGAGCCCATGGATCTGGCGTGAGCTGATCTTCGTGTCACAAAAGAGTAAGTTAAAGGTAGACCTAGCTCCAGGTCCTGGTGATGGCCGTTCTAAGCGCCGTTTATTTCTACTCACCAGGGACCTCAGTTTTGACCCTGGGACCGACGGCAGGGACAGAAGTGGCAGACGCCTGGGTTGCTATGTGCTCTTTATTGAGCAGAGTCCTGGCGCTTGGGGGGCTAGGCACTCAGGGCCGCGGGCGAGGGCAGCGGCGCCGCTTGCGGGGCTGCTCCTCGCGGGGGTCGCCTTCACCGCAGGCCTCACGCTGGGTCAGCAGGCGCCCATACACGGGCTGCCAGCACTGCGAGGCCTTAGCCCCGCCCCCCGCCCCGCCTGCCACTCGACGCCCCTCCTCCTGCAGTCGCGCGTCCAGCTGCAGCAACAGCACCAGGATCCTTTTCATCTCCCGCGCTCGCGTGCCTTCGCGCCTGTCCACACCGTCGCCTGCCCCACGAAGCATGGGCGCCACCGCTGGGAAGCACGTCGGGGCGCCGAGAGCATCCTCAGTCGGCCGCCCAGGCCTCACATATGGGCCCACCGTCGCCTCGGCCAGCTGCTGCCGCTTGTCCAGCGGAAAAAGCAGCACGATCTTGGTCTGGGGGTGGGCGGGCGTAGGGGAAGAACACGCCCTTGCAGGGCCCGAGGCCTCTCTCATGCCCGGAGGTCCCAACCTCCAGAACCCCACAGCCCCCCCCCCCCCGGCCCCCTGGCCTCCCCTCCCCCCCCCCAGGAACCCATCGTCCACCCTAGGCCAATCCACTGCGTACTTTCCCAGCCTTGATGCGGGGTTTCTCACCCACCCGGACAGGGTCAGTGGCCTCTCGCCATTGAAAGAAGGGTAAAGAAGCCTGTTGTGAGGCTGTGGGCTGGAGAGAGGAAGTAAAGAATATTCCAGGTCTGTGGCCCCAGCGGCTTCTGCCCCACTCCTGCCCTCGCTTCTGGGACCCTGCGCCACATATGTGGGCTCCAGGGACCCTTCTCCACTCTAGAGATTCTCTACCCACCCCCATGCCCCTGGGTCTAAAGGCGTAGATTCCAGCACCCTTCCGGCCTCCCCGTACTCACACTCGGCTTCTTCCGCTTGAGGTGGCTGAAGAACTGCTTGTGACGGGCCTTGTCCATGTCAGGTGGCCCGTCCTTGCTGGCCTGACTGGGTGCTTTGGTCCTCTTGTGGGAACTGCTGTTTCCCATGATAGGACTGGTCACTAGAGGCCACTGCCCATGCTGCCTCGGTCCTGCCCTCTAGCCAGAGGCACCGGTTTGGCCCCGCTCCACCAAGGCAACTGAATTGTGAGCTCACAGGTGACCTCACCGCACCAAAGCTCTGCTCCTCCCCTGGAACTCCCAGGGGAATCTGGCCTTTACTCATGGCCTATGACCTCTTCTGGTCTAAGCTTTCCCACTGCAACACAGGGTAGTGCTTTGCAATGCTTACAAAGTACTTAAGGGTGAGTAGAGGGCACTTTCTGTGGCTTTTGATTTGAATCCTGGCCCGCCACTAATTGGCAGCTTAACTTTGGCCAAGGTTTAACCTCTCAAGGCCCCGTATACAAAGTGGAGTCAATTATAGTTCCTACAAGTTGTTATGCTGGTTAAACAAGTCTGGTATCAAGTGGGCAGTTCTGTCAACCAGGTTTTCTGGTTGCAAACAGGAGAAAATCGGTCATTGAAAGGAAGTTATTAAAAAGATTTCATGGAAACCGAACCCACAGACTTTGGGCAGGACTCAGGCGCGACTCCATCCCTTTGTTAAGAGCTTGGTCCAGAAGGCACACCATCTTAGTTGAGCCAAGGCAGGCTATACACCAAGAAATGAAACCCATTACAGATGTTGCCACAGAGCCTGGGCTGTCTTGGCTCCTCAGGATTCCCATCCTAGATTTGGGTGCGTGGTGGGGGTAAGGGCTTCTCAGGGCACCCTTGATGTTCAGGCATGTAGCTGGACAGATTACTATGTTCCACAAAAATGGTGGCATTTTCAGATTGAGAGCTCAAACTGCGAGCACTAGGCTAGTTTTATGTAGGCAGTAACCGAGGGGTGGGAGAAACAGCCACAGGGTGACAGCAGCTGGGGAGTGTAAGAATCCTAAGATGGCTGGTACGGGATCTGCTGCTTGGTCAGTCCCTGTCTCCGTCTCCATTCACGGAACTGAGGGGAGCTGGCAGTGAGGCTGCAGTCAGGGCAGGCAAGCGTGCTTGTGTCTGTTCTCGGCGACCTGGATGTCTTGTATATGTAGTGTCTAGTAAAAGGCATGCTTGTTAAATGGATTGGCGAGTGGAACCATGAGAGCAGGTACACATGGACATTGTGAGTTTGCGTCTCACAGCTTAGTAAGGGGTGGCATCACACATCATTCCGTACCATGTGTAAAACTGGCCTTACTGCCCTGCATCTTCACCCTGCCTGGCTGTGAAAAAGATAAGAATAAGCATTCACAGAGAAGAGAAATTGAGAGCCAGGAAGACCCAGTGTACCAGCGTGCTGTGATCCCTATGAATAAGTCTCATATGTACCACGATTTTTAAAAACCCAGTCTGGACCCAGAAAAGGGACTTTAATTCTGGCTCTGGGGCGGCACAGGCAGGAGGATCACAATTCAAGGCCAGCCTGTGCTAAAAAGTAAGACCCCGTCCCAAAACAAAAATACAAAGTTGGTGCTGACTAGCTTGGCTGGGCCTGCATGCTCTGTACCTTTCACTTTTCACTGTTGCTCTGACGAGCACGCTATTACCAGATTGGAAGATAAGCTCCTACTTCAAAACATAACCCTCTGCCCTGCCCACAGGAGTATGAACAGGCTTCCAAGGTGGACCAGTTTGTCACACGATTCCTACTTCGTGAAACTGTGAGCCAGCTACAAGCCCTGCAGAGCTCACTGGAGGGGGCGTCTGACACTCTGGAGACCCAGGCCCACGGTCAGCGGTATGTGAGGGTGCTGTTGGCCTGTGGGTGTCTGAGCACTTTTTGTTCTTGCATTCCGAATTCCTCAGGGTCATGATCTACTCAAGCCTTCTGGAGGCCATATTCTTGGCCAGGGAGGCCATGAGCTGTTGAGAAGGGGTAGGTGGTTTGAGGGCTGGGCTTCAGAGACTCAGGAGACCTGTCTTGCCTCACCTAAGCCTGGTCCTTTGCTGAAATGCCAGTCCTTGACCCTATGGGTCTGGGGACATTAGGCTAACTTTTCTACTTCCCAGGTTGGATGACGAAAATATAAAAGTGCAGAGTAGGTTCCGTGGTAGCCGGCGGGCATGTCGCAGGGCCCTAAGGAGCATCAGTTGGTCACCAACCTGGTCTCCTGGATCCACTGATACAGGTGTGTCTGGGGCAGCGTAGGATCTGGCTGCACAAGGTCCAGGGCAGATGTGGCGTCTCCTGTTCTCTCAGGGCTCTGCTTGGCCAATGTTCCCATTTCACCCTGAGAGGCCTCACAGCTTCAGGGGCCCCTGGCTGATGCCCGTCTGCTCTCTGTGCCAGGGTGGAGTTCAGAGGCTGAGCTGCAGTGGCAGCTGCAGGTCAACCGCCTCCAGGAGCTCATAGACCAGCTTGAGTGCAAGGTAAGAGGCGGTGCCCTCAGAGAGGATTTCTGTCACACCTGCCCAAGCCAATAGCATACTAGAGGTTCAGCCTATATTGTGTCCCTTGCAGGCACCCCGGCTGGAACCCCTGCATGAAGAGGACCTTGCCAAGGGTCCTGACTCGGTGAGCTTGGGAAGGAGTACTCATCAAGAAGGGTAATGGCTGTCTACCCAGACCTGGTAGGCAGGTTCTTGTTCTGTGACTGTCTGAGGTCGTCTGTCCTCTCACCTGGATCTGTGAAAGTCAGGCCTGAGGTAGGGCACGGTGAGAGGTCGGACAGCAGAGAGGGTCAATGGCTTGGAGGATGGAGTCAGATGCTAGGAAGTCTTGCTGGTTGTGGGGACCTGACCCCACAGGGGGCGAGTCTGGACCACGTCAGGAAGGTTGGAGTTATACTCTGAGTATGGCTTGCCCTGCGACTATCTGCTCTCTTGCCAGCACATCCTTGTGGCACAGAGGCAAGTGCAGGTGGCAGAGGATGCCCTGCAGGATTTTCACCGTGCCCTGTGCTGCTACATGAACTTTACAGGAGCCCAGAGCCATTGCCTGCAGTGAGTCCCTGGCTGGTAGTGTGACGGCTGCAGTGGGGGCGGCTAGGTGGTGGGGCAGAGAGGGATGGTGGCTGGGTACCCTGGGTAGGGTTCCCATGAGATCCTCGACAGGCAGGCAGTGTGGCCACAGCCCTGGTCCAGCCTGGCTACCTCTTTGGCTCTGCAGTGTGTCTGCCCAGAAGATGTTAGACAGCGCTGCTTTCGCCCTGTATGAGTTCTGGCAGGATGAAGCCTCCTGGAGAAGGTGAGTGATGGTCTTACCTCTGACACTGAGTATGGGTTCTGGAGGGGGTCAAATCAGGTTCAAGGCTCTCCTCTCCTATTCACTGGCTGTGATTTCAGATAATTTACCTAACACATCTGGGTCCCAGATGAGGTGATGTGTAAAGAATGAACGGAAGTTAGATATTGAGTGCATGCCTGTCATATCAACACTGAAGGCAGAAGCAAGAGAGCTCAGAGTACAAGGCCAGCCTGGGCTACAGAGCAAATTCAGCAAAGCCCTGTCTCAAGCAAAACAAAACAAAACAGCGAACAGTACAAGTGGCTATGGTTGCACCAATTTATAATCCCATCACTTGGAAAGCAGGAGGAACAATAATTCAAGGCCAGCCTGAACTATAAAAACAAGACCCTAACACAAATCCCCAAAACTCAATATAAAGCCAGATGCAGTCAGTATGCCCCTTTGCTAGGTGTCTTCATTTAGTCCTTGCAGTAGCTTCGTAATGCAGGTACCTTATTCCCATTTTACCCAGGGGAAAGACTGAGGCTAGAACCAGTAGTGGAAGGGTTGGTGCCTTGAGTCCAGGCAGCAGAACTAAGCCTGGATGACCCAGAGCACTGATCTTAGAGAAGATGGCTGCAGCCTCTGTCTGTCCTGTGGCCCTTCCAGGCACCAGCAGTCGCCCTGCAGCAAGGCCTTCCAGCGCACCCTCATCGACCACCTGCGCGCCCCGGACACACTCACCACGGTGTTCTTCCCAGGTGTGCTAGACCCCTGTGCTCCCAACAGCCCCGGGACCCAGGAGGGGCAGCTCCCCCTGTAGCCCCTGACTCCCCAACCTCTTACCCACAGCCTCCTGGTGGACTATGAATAATAACTGAGCCAGCTCTGCTTAAGCTGCAGCCCTGCCTATCACTCTAGAGCCTTCTGCACTGGTCAACTCTACACTAAGACCAAGGAATCTGTCTGTTCCCAGGCTAAAGGCCTGGACAGCTGGTATAGGGTCTCAGCCCAGGGATCAGGAGCTGGGCTGCTTGCTTTGTTTGTTTCACTGTTTGTAGCTGCCAGGCATCTGAGCTTCTGTCTGATTCGGAAAGCCCAGATTCTGGTCCCCCTTTCCTCTCCCTTGCTGTGTGACACAGGCAGAGCCCTTCCCTCTCTGGCTACCTAGGGGTGTCCTGCTTTCTGCCTGCTCCTTTGGGGGTTAGGTTTCTGTTTTTCCTCAACTAGTGGCAGAACCAGGGCTGATGCTCAGGGACCCACTCTCGAACCCTGGAACCTTGACCCCTCAGGCTAGGCCATCTCAGCCTGTAGTATAGAGACCTGGGTGTCCATCACCCTTCTAGCTCAGCCCTAGAATTTCTAGCATCAGTGGCTGTACCGGAGACCTCTGGAGGATCCTGGGTTGGTTTGCATGTCATCTGCATATCATTTGCATGCTCTCACCCCACCCATTCTCAGGGCACAATGGGAAGGCCCAAGAAGACCTTGCAGAGTAGCAATAATTTGGGCATAGAATTGCCTGCTGCCCCCAGAGATCTCTGAACCCCAGCCTGGGATCCTAGCACAGAGGCAATAAAGTTGGTAGTCACCTGTGGTGTTGCCTCTATCTGTCTGTCTGTCTGTCTGTCTGTCTGTGTGTGTCTCTTGGCAAGGTCAGGCTTTGCTGGCCACCTTGACATGACACTCAGGGAAGAAAGCCTGCTTAGAGCTACACTTGGTTTCCAGTGCCGCTGCCACACTGGTAGAAGGAGCTTCATCATCATTCACTCAGCTCAAGACCAAAGCCCAGACCCTCCCTCTAGAGCGCTGCGTGGGAAAGAGAAATGATGTCCAAGCTCAGCTTCACCTGACAGAGCCTTCTCAGTGATCCAGAGAGCCTGCTTGAGGGGGACCTAGCCCATGCCAGAACCTGCTAGGCTGACCTGCATGAGTCCTCCTCGCTATAGCAGGGCAGGGGGCCTCCTACTTGTGACTAATGACTAGTGACTAATCCTGACACCTAAAGTGGTGCTCCATGGTGAGGTTCGTGGTACCACAAGAGCATGGCATGGATGTCACCTGTCTCACGTGGGGATCTCAAGCTCAGTGTGGCAGGGGCACTCAACTCCAGTCAACCAAGGGAAGCCAAACCAGATGGCTCCAGAGACCAGGGGGAAGGAGGAAGACTGGGGAGTGCAGCTGGGGAGGCAGAGCCCTTAAAGGAGCTTCATTCTGGAAGCTACAGTAGGTTTTAAGCCAAGCCTGGCGGCCAGGGTTTGAATGCTGCTTCATTCATGTCTCTGTGTGTCTGACTGCCAGAGCCTTGCTGGGTGCTGGGTTGTGGCCAGAATAGCAACTCTGCTGGCAGAAGTGCAGATCTGGCCTCCAGGCAGGGTCTTTTCTGTGGCTCTCCCAGTGGCCTCAGCAGATGCCTGGATGCTGTGGGGCTAGAAGGCTCCAGAATGTGCTGCCAGTTGTCTGTTCCTTTTCCACACGGGCTCTGAGTCTCCTGGGAGAGGTTTGCTGCCCACATTGTGGTCTCAGTCCCCTTAAGAGAGGGAACTAGCCTTGGAGGGATGACCCCACTCTCAGGCCCGTGTTGTATTTCCCCCTAAACAGTAATAATAGACTCAGAACTAAAGGAATGAGTTACAGCAGCATGCTACTTGCAGTGGATAAGCTCTGGGCTCCATAGAAGAACAAAGGTGATAAACACATCTCTGTGTGTGTGTGTCAGCCAGAGGACAATCAGGTGTGGTTCCTCAGGTACTGTTTTGTTTTTGTTTTTGTTTCTGTTTCTGTTTTGGAGACAGGGTTTTTCTGTGTAGCCTTGGCCTCCCTGGAACTCAATCTGTAGACCAGGCTGGCCTTGAACTCCCAGAGATCTGCCTACCTGCCTCTACCTCCCAAGGGCTGGGATTAAAGGCAAGTGCCACCACTACCTCAGGTTGTCACCCCCCATTCATTTATTTATCTATTAATTATGTATACAGTGTTTTGCCTGCATGTACACCTGCACGCCAGAAGAGGGCACCAGAGCTCAGTATAGACGATTGTGAGCCACCCTTGGTTGCTGCGAATTGAAGTCAGGACCTCTGGAAGAACAGCCAGTGCTCTTAACCTCTGAGCCATCACTCCAACCCTTCAGGTCTTCTTAAAAGCTTCAATGAGTGAGCTATCTCATTAGCTTCTTTGGTCTTGATACAAGCTCTTACTATGTAGCCCAGGTTGGCCTGAAAGGTGTTATCTTACTGCCACACCTGGCCCCACTGCTATCTTAGAGGTGATTATCTCAGCCAGCTCCTCTGATGGGGTATGTCTTTAATCTGATGTCCTAGGATGGTTACTGTTCAGCAAGAGTTAACTTAAAAATTTTTTTTCCTTTTTTTTTTTGGGACAAGGTCCTCAGGCCTTGAATTTGTTGAGATCTTCCTGCCTCAGCTTCCTAAGTGCTGGGACATAGGCCTATGCCTAGACCTGGCCTTGAAGGATTTTGTTTTGAGACCGGATCTCACTATGTAGCTTGAGCTCACAGAGATCCACCTGCCTCTGCCTCCTAGGTGTCTGGTTGTTGGTTTTTATTTTATTCTTTCCAAGTGCTGGGAATTGCACTCATATGCTACACAAGTGCTGTGCTACTGAGCTACAGCCTCAGCCTTTTTTTCTTTTCAAGACAGGGTTTCTCTGTGTAGCCTTGGCTGTCCAGGACTGGACTCACTTTGTAGACCAGGCTGCTTGAAATCACAGAAATCCACCTGCCTCTGCCTTTCTGAGTGCTGGGACTAAAGGTGTGCCCACCACTCCTGGCTGCTTTCTCTTTTTTCCTTTTTTGCTCTTTGAGACAGCGTTTCTCTGTGTAGCTATCGTGGACTCACTTTGTAGACCAGGCTGGCTTTGAGCTCACAGGTATCCACCTGTCTCTGTCTCCCCAAGTGCTGTGATTACAGGCGGGCACCACCCTGCCCAGCTGCCTTTTCATTTATCTTAGTTTTGAGGTGTGACACTTGGGCGAGCCTCCTGCCTTACCATGCATTGCCATGTAAGTTATGTATTTTAACTTTCCGTTGATAAGATCTCAGTAAGTTTCCAATGCAGGCCTTGAACTTTTCATTCCCCTTCCTCAGCCTCCGGAGATGCTGTGATTAGACAGGCCTTTGTTACCAGGTCCAACTAACTTATTGAACAAGCCGCTTGCTCCCCTACTGAAGGCTCAGAGCTACTAGGGAGAACACTGAAGCTGGAAGGGGGTATGTATCCTGCTGAGAGTCCTTTAGGAGAGAACAACTTGGTTTGAGCTCTCCAAGCTTAAGCAGGGAAAATCTTAGTGGATGGAGAGGGTGGAGGTCAGGCAGGAGAGCTGCAGAAAGGTGAAAAAGGACAGAATGAAGAGGGAGTAATCGGAGATCAGGCAAGGTCCAAGGTGTAGGTGTGAGTCTGGAGTCTCAGCAACAGGAAGGAGCCTAAGGCGGGGATACTGGGGCATGCCGTGTCTTTAATGATGTGTACTCCCCTCCTCTCTGTCTGTATCCGTATCCTAACACGCGGCTGCACTATGTCCCAGGAGGGGCCCTCAGTCTTCATTGCTGTGGTCACCACATCCCTTTAGTCACTGGCTCTTCAATGGCTCCTATTTTCTTCTTTCTTCTCCATTGAATCATTTGTCTGAAAATCAAGGCCTTTTCCACTCCCAATTCATGAAGTCCCCTTTATCTAAATCACATGCAGGCTGATGGGCCATCCCCAGCCACAGTCATCTCTCTTTGGTCTCTCACTGGCATCTACTCTAGAGACACTGCCTCACCTTTAGCAGCAGGCTAAAGTCATGAACTTGGGATTTTTTTTTTTTCTTTTAATAATATATATATATACAGGGTTCTGCCTATGTTTAGGCCTGCACAACAGAAAGGGGCACCAGATCTCATTGCAAATGGTTGTGAGCCATCATGTGATTACTGGGAATTGAGCTCAGGACCTTTGGAAGAACAGTACTCTTAACCTCCAAGCCATCTCTCCAGACCCCTCGGCATCACCTCCTACAGCTCTTTCCCTCAGAGCCTGCTATGACTGACTCTGTAACATCTACTGGAGATGTGCTTTGTGATAACAAAATGTTAGCAACCAGGTCATGACGGGCTGAGTCCTGAAGCCAGAAGGTTCTGGCTCTTTACCTAGCTGTCACCCCACCATCAACTGCCTGTACCTGTGACTGGGGTTTGGCTTAGGGCTAGGTCAGGTGCAGCAAACCTAGACAATGCCCAGTTTATAGCACCTTAGCTTCTTGTACACCAGCTCCTGTTGATGCAGCCTCTGAGAAGATAAAATGAGAGGACTATAAGGTAGGGTAGCGAGGGAGTCATTCTTTTTTTGTTAATTTTTCTGTGTAGCCCTGGCTATCCTGGAACTCACTCTGTAAACCAGGCTTGTTTCTTTCTTCTTTCTCTTTCTCTCTCTTCTTTAAAGAACAGTTTTACCCTAGCTCCCCAGACTATCAAGTCACAGGTTCTTGGTCATCCAAGCAGTGTCACATATGGGTTTCATCTTTTAGATTAGGCCTTAAGTCAAACCAGGTATCAGTTGGTTTCTGCCTCATGTTCTGTGCCACCATATCTTGCAGGCAGAACACCATTGTAGATCAAAGGGTTTGTGGCTGTGTGGCTGTGTGGCTGTGTTGCTTTGGATAGCATGCAGAGGCCCTTCCTGTGCCAAAGACGATACTGAGAGTAGGGGAGAAGCTCTATGTGGGCATCAGGTCAACTTCTCCCTGTTCAATGAGTTGTGAAGGTGTTCTCTTAAGCAATGCCTTGCCCATCAGTTTGTGGGAGCAACCTGCAGTCTTGGCAATGGCCTGGGTTGCTTAGGGATTCCCATGGGACCCCTTGGCCAACAGTTCAAATTAGATGTAACACAACCCCAGTACTGGAAGTTTCATTTGGCGATGAGCAGTTGGGGTTCTTTCTTCTCCATTACTTAGTGATTTTCTTTAGATGACCTTCACATATGTATATATTTTAGAAAGTTCCTGCAAGGGCTCATTTTGGCTGTTGTCCTTCTACTTGATTCTGTTCCAGCCACTCCATTCATCCATATCAATCCTATTTCCCTTTTCCAACAAGATCTGTCCCCCACCCTGTCCCTTATTGTATACCTAACTTCTGTGGTTCTTCAGATTCAAGTTTGGTTATCCTTGACTTAACAGCTACCCACATACACCACTTGGCTCTCTTATAATCACATTTCACCCTCACAACCCAAGGGGTAGGTAGGCACTGCCAGCATCCCGATTTATAGGAGACATATGCAGTCACATGTTTTGCCCTGGTTCCAATTACTACTTGCTGTCAAGTGTGGAAGGCACTGAAAGTGGGCATCCTTGGGTGGCAGTATCCTAGCTAAAGCTGGGACAGTGATTAAAGGTTTTCCTCGGTTCTACAATGTTCCAAGGCCAAGCCTTGGGGCCTAGATGTCAAAGGAAGGTAGAGAAAGCATGAGAAAAAGGCTAAAACCTGCGCTCTTCTGGAACTTCCTAAATGTACCCAGAAAACACCATCTGAACTCACTCAAGGGATAGAGGCAGCCGCAGAAAAGGCTGAAACGGGCGGGGGGGGGGGGGGGGGGGGCAGTGGCAGCTCTGCAAAGGAAGCAGAAGCAGCATGCCCCGTTTCGTCCTCCAGAGGGCGCCTGAAAACACAATGAGGCTGAATGAAGGCTCAGAAACGTTATACAACCATTAAGTGCGATTAAGCCTTAACATCAGTACAGAAAGGACACAAAAACCTCACAGGCTCAAGTATGTTTATGTTGAAACTTTATACGGAAATAACAGTTACTTGGAAAAAAACCTGTTTTGTTCCCTAGGTATGGGTGAACATTCTCACTGGAGAAAAGCTGAAGGAACTAGGTATCTGTACATTACTGTTGGCACTCAACTGCAGTCAGCATGGTCACCTAGGCCTCCCTGGGACAGGTGGCGGCTCCAACTAGCTTCATAGAGGTTCACCTGCAAACCCTCCAGGACTTGTGTGTTAGAACCTTTCTCCTTAGCAGTCTACCTCTCCTTCCTGCTTGCAAGGATGGTTAGTGCCCCGGTGACCCTTCAGAGACCTGGGGTGGGGGAGGGGAGAGGGTGTGCATGTGCGGTGCATGTCGATGCCCGCAGCAGGCCGCTGAGCATTCACATTATCACCACTGTCCTATTTTGCCCAGGCCTAGTTCAGCTGGAGTCAGAAAAGGAATATAGCATTTTTATTAACTACTTTAAGTAGAACAAACTAAATACATATTTAACAGTTTTGGTTCATTTATACAGTACATTAAATAAGTTATGCACAGAGTTAAGTAACAAAAGTTCCCTATTGAGTCAAATGACAAAAGCACAGAAAAACCAGACCCAAATGCATCCTGCGGGTGGCTTCACATTCATCACCCGCCTCTGCAAACCATGCTTGCAGGCTTGGCTTTCTATTTATTTACATTATTGGTTTTCTGTATGGATGGAGCCTTTGTAGTCTCATCAGGAACTTGGAAAGCCACAGGAGTGGAATGAAGGCCTTATATCAAACAGCCCTTTCAACCATTCACTCAACAACTGTTGCAGCTTCTCCCTGGCCAACTACAAGGCAGGGACTGGGCTGTCCCTGACAGACACCAGCTGCACATGCCTTTTTGGTATAAGCATTGACAGTTTACACTGGGCAGCTGGAGGCCTGACAAGATGGGGTCTGAGTGGGAAGCATCACCTCCCAGGCTGTAGGAGGAGAGATGGTAGGGTGAATCATCACCTCCCACCTTAGCTTCCTCCTGGTTCACACGTGCTCCATCATCTTTGGAAATGGGTGTCAACACGAGGCAGAAGCAGGTAGTCAGCATTTTGGCTTTACAGGAATATACTTGAGTGGGCAGGCTCTGCTAAGCAGCTGCTAGGTCAAGGGTCTCCCACAGCTGGCCAGCTGGCCCACGCTGGCCAGCTCAGTTCCTTCTGGCTTTTCCCACATTTGGTTCAAACATGCCACCACCCAGTTCTCTGCAAATAGCTAACATTCATCAATGCACACTAGCTTAGTCTCCTGAGCCAGAAGCCTGGAAACCTTGGTTTTAGTCCAGTTCTGAAGAAAGCCTCCAAGATGTGTCCTATTTGTAATGGTTTATTCAACCCACAATCCCGTCTGCAGTTTCCAGGACGATGGCCATCTGCTCATTCCTTATGCTCCAGGGAGAATCCACTAACATACACTTGCAGTTCTGTTGAGTCCTTACACACTTGCTGAGATAGTTTCCAGAACCACTCAAAAAAATGTCTTCACCCTCTATGAGAAAGTAATGAGGAGTACCAGGTCACTTCATCTTTTGAGACAGGGCTATACTAAGTAAAATGTAGACTTCCCCTCTGGAAGCTAGAGTTCACATCAAGATGTGAAGCACTTCCTGGAGATCAAATGAGAGGAGTCCATACTGCAGAAGGTAACAGCCTGTATAGACCTGAGGAGGGAAAACAGGTGGTTTCCACACAGATCCATGGCAGCATATGACTTTGGCCTCCAGAAAACGATACTCAGCCCATGTCCTCACCACCACCTGCCTGCATGAGCCAATCTAATGGAGCTGCAGGGACCGTTCAATGTGTCTTTTTGTTAGACAGGTCTCAAACTTGCTATGTAGCTAAGGATGAGCTTAAGATTCTGGTGGTCCTGCTCCCACCTCCCAAATGTTGGAATTATATGTACCACATGGCTGGTTTATGTCATGCTGGAAATCAAATCCAGGCCTTCAGCATGATAGCCACACTACTAAATAAGCCAGGTCCCAACCTAGCTTCACTAAGTCTTCACCATTTGCTAGAGTGAGGAATGGTGCATGTCTCCCACTGTGGCTACCTCTGTCCGGTTTCTGCAATCTTATCTCTCACTTGGCAGAGGATGAAGCCCTGACCATTTTGTTCCCCAAATAGTTACTGCAGAGGCCAGACCTCTGAGCAGCCTGACTCAGCTGTTTCTTCTTTTCTTGGTGTGGATGAGTGGAAACTTTCTGTTCATTCCCAGCCCAGTAATGGGTCATATTAGCAGACTAGAACTGAAGTGTGGGGCCAGGACTCGCATATAATAACCCCAGCTCCTACCTTAGATGCTGCTGGAGAACTAGAGATAGAAACTCCTTAAATCTGAAAAGCAAGTCTTCAGCAGATGCCATTTAAAGGGTGATGCTTACTAGAGGCGAGCCAGTGACAAGTCTGAGAACTGAGCTATACAGTGTGAAGAAGTACTGTCAAGGTCTGTAGACAAACCTGTGAAGGGCACAAAGGCTAAGCAGTCCCCAACAGCACTATAGAAACAATCGGTCAGGGCAACCAACGTAGTCCACGAAAGTAGGCTAGGTCCTGTACCCTTAAACCTTTGCTGTAGAAACTGATTTCCAACCTGGCAAGTAGTAACGTTTTGGTTCCAGCTCTTTATGCCAATTACCTGGTATAGTCAGTCCTGTGGCCACAAGATTGTAACTCTATAGACTCTCTTGTATCTGAGAATATGGGCAAATGCTGTCTAGTATTGACTCTACCTAGTAAAATAATGCTGTCCCCAGTGGCTGGGGTATTAGACTGATAGGAATGGGACCAGGGAGGCCAGGCTGCACTGTCACTATAGTAAGTAGTGGGTCTTGGGTATTCTATGCTGAAATAATATTTTAAAGGTCTAAGTTTCTAATACTGAAAATCCTTGTTAAAATCGGGCAGGGACTCAGTATCATAAAATCAGTCATAATTGTAAGCAAGGACAATATCATCCAGGCTTTTATGGGCCACAGGCTAGTATTCAGACTTCATCATTGTACAAAAGGTGACCACGGCTTCCAAAAGCCAACAGGATCAAGGGCACTGATTCATCCCAACTGACTGTACAGGGCAAGAGGATGCTGGAGGACCCTGAGTGGTAAGGCAAAGTCCTCTGGCAACTAATAACAAACTTCAAAAAATGGCAAGGGAAAAAGGTGTGAGGCAGCAGTTGGCCTGATGAATGGGGTACAGATGATGTTCTATTTAGAGAATCAGGTAATTCGAAAAACTTCTGAAGATGGGAAGAAAAATAGGTCAGGCTCTTCAATACAGTTCCCATACTTCACAGACTCTGAGCTGTGAGGGATGCTATAGCACAGAAAAAGGAGGCTGAGAATGTTCATCTGATAATGAACCCATGAGGTGGCATGATGCCACACAACCAGGTGGGAATACTCCAATCAAGGTCAGGAGCACTGCTCAAAGTGTAGTCTGACAGGTGTCAAAGAGAACCTATGTGCAAGAGACATCCCCGGTGATGCAGACATGCACAGTCTGAGAAAAAAGGAACAAGATGACTGTGTCAAACAGTCAAGCAGTGCCAGAGGGTTCTGCATTTCCAAGATCCACTGAATATTTTAGTTTGGCTAACATGCTCAGAGAAAAGACTCATACAATGGATTCATCCTCTCTCAGACCAATCCATGCGATGGAGATTATTTTTTGCACAAGCAAAATCAAGTGAAACTTTGGAGTATGCGTGTGGGGATGTTCCAAACTATTGAAGCTGCCCAGGTTGGAAAATCTTGTCCAAAATGATCTGGTGCTTGGGAAGACTGACTGAAATTTTTATCATTACTGGACTTTACTGGTGACTTCTATCTTGCATTTCTGAGTATCTTAACAGGTCTGGGCAGCTCAGGAAGGAGTCCTGAATACTGCTTTTCTGTTACCCAAGTCTCTGATAGGCCAATCAGTATCACCTAAGGGTAGACATGGGGCACAAGTAACTGTTTGGAGGCAGAGAGAGGAAGGGCCTCCTCTTCAGCCTGCTACCAGTCTTCAGGCCTCTACTGTTGGACACTGTGGGACACAGGTGCCTGCTGGGGCACTCCTGACAATCTGCTGATGCAAGGAGTCGGAGGGAGCTGGTGGTGTACACTGAGACGGGGATGGGTCATGCCAGCTTTAGCTGGAAGAGAAACATCAGGAAAGCCATGGAGGAGGCAGCTCAAGCAACTTCTGTGTACAGAGAATGACACACTAGTTCTTCCTAGGACACGTGGCAAATCCCAGAGAAGTAGTGGCGTGCCTTTTGATGCTTCCTGACACTTTTCCTGCTGATGACCCAACAGCTATTTGTTCTAATTGCCAGCTCCCTGGCGTAAGCATTCTGCCATGTGGAGTGGTCATCAGGGCAGGTGGAGTCTGTGTGGCTCAGAGTCCGTTGGCATCGATGGCTGTCACAGATGCAGGTGTTGAGGAACGTGAGGTGGTGGCTGAGGTCTTGTCCAGGGCTGGGCTGGGCACACTGCAGTCAGCAGACCTGGCTGAGCCTCGGCCTCCAGGGAGCAGTGGCCGGCTCTGACTGTGAGGACTGTGGCCATGCAGACTCTGGCCACAGAGGCGGTGATGCCGTTCCCAGTCCTTATGTTGGCAGAAGGAACCACAGTAGCGAGCAATATTGCAGCCACTGCACGTCTCACTGGCTTTTCGGCCACAGTTCCAGCAGTTCTGCAAGACACAGGCATCAGTTAGTGGCTGCTGACATCTTGAGGGGCAGGCTCGCCACTGTCACTTGTCATCTGCATGGTAGAGCAAGGGCTGTGGAGCTACGTACGTGTGGATGAGTCCTCTGAGGATGACCTTTAATGATTGATCCTCCTGTTTCTCACCTCCCAAATGCCAATATCATGGGCACAGGTCACCTGGCCCAGATCTCACAACTACCTTCTGAAGACCATACATCCACATTTGAGCTTGAACAAACATTTTCTGTAACTCTCATCTTCACCGTTTTTACTGACAATTTTTCATCTTTTAACAAAGATTTTTAAAGAAATACAGTAAAACTGAGATTTTACTCCAAAGTTATCTTCCTGGAAACTAGGATAAATGAAGAGGGAGGTGGCTGTGCTACTGCTTCCTTTGTCCTCTGTGCCTATTTTCTTCACTGTCATGTCATACAGCAGATGAGCTAAGGGAGACTGTAGTCTGTACTCAAGGGCACTCAAGTGGAGCTCGGAACTTTTTTTTTTTACTACATGTAACATTTACTCAGAGTGGGGCAAATACTCCTGAGCTTAGCTACCACAGAAATTCTGTGGTAGAATTTAAGGGCCGAGCACAGTTTCCTGAGGGCTCACAGAACAGCCATAAAAACAGCAGGACAGTTACTAAACATACAACTTACCATTTCCCCTAGATAGCTGGGAGCAAAGACAACACATTAAAAAAACAAAAAAAACCCCTAATCCTGTCAGTCAGGCCCAGCACTGACTCCTAAGTCCTTTGCTATCTTTGGGAAGAATCAACTAGTGACATGTGAGCTGAACATTCCCAGGACCTACTGGTTAAAGTTTTTTTTTTTTTTTTTTTTAAATTAAATGTTCTAGTATGGTGAAGCTATCAACAACTTAACAACTACCTTCTTGTCTACAAGGACACTAGAATGGCAGAGGCCTATCTCAAAGCCTGGCTATAGTACTAGTTAGGGAAGAAAGACAACTTTCTCTCTTAACTCAGAATGCTTGACCTGAGTATAAAACAGGCCTACTGGCTCCTTCCCAGCATTGTAAGATGGGAAACCTGAGGCCCACACGTGCTAAAGCTAGAATGTCATTCAAAGCCTGGGATCCAGACTTCCTGAGTGCGCATAGCTGGGTATCCATCTCCATGTAACAAGCTTACCACATCATCACTATCATTATCATGTAATGGGACAAACTACTACATGGAAGCTGAAGTGTGTGTTTGATAAAATATAATGAATACAAAAGAATGGTCGAACTGTTCTGACATAACTTAAAGAAAAACAGTCTCTTGGTATTGGCTAAAAATCCCATCATCTAATTCAAGACTGGACTCTTCCTACCCAGCACCTCAGTGACCAACAGTGGGCTCGCCCACCCCTTCAGCCACCCAGCCCAGCCTATAGTCTAGCATAGCTCTGACCTCTGTGGACTCCTCTTGCTCATTGATGACCAGGAAAGCATCTTCTGCAGCCTGCCGTTTGACATCCGCTATGGTTTGCTCCATTCGAGCTCTCTCAGTTGCAATCACTTCAAAGGCTTTTTGTTCTGCCTCAGCTACAGCCTTTTGTACTTCTGACATGGCCTGAATTTTCACCTTATTCACAGCTTCTTCTGGAAGAAAGCAACAGTAAAATAAACTGGCAAAGAAACCTTTTCCCTTCCAACCCACAGCACTGGGAAGTAGAGGAGAGGAGCAGGGGCCAAGGAGGAAAGGTTTGGTAGGTTCTCACTAGATAGCCTAGGCTAGCCTCAAACTTGTCACAATCCTCCTATATCTGCTTCCCAATAGTGAGATTATGGGCGCATGCCAACATACTCAGTTAGCTAGCCACAGTATTTCTAAGAAAAAAATAGTGAAAAGATGTTTAGGGGTGAACATGAAGCAAACACATTATTCATACAAGAGCTCACCCAGTGATGCAACTGTTAGGCATAAACATGGAGGTAGACACTGTGCAAAAGCTGGGAATATAGAGGAAAGTAGACACCATTGTTCTGTATATGATCAAGTATCCCAGTTGCTTTGGTGCCATCTGTCAAAATAAGAGACTATAGTTTCAAGGAGAAATGCTGTCAAATCTACAAGGGTCAAGAAAGTATAAAAAATATTTTTAATATTTTATTTTCTAAAGAAAATGTGAACTTCTAGAGTTGTATACAATGGGAAAAGGCAACTGGGAAACTGGGCATGAAATTAGCTGAGAGATGAGGTTCTGAGTCTGCAAAGCTACTTAGGAGTCAAGGTAGTCTGGGGGTGGTGCTAAAGGACAATGGTGGCTTTACACAATGAAATGGGCACACAAAAAGAGCAGGCAAGTGAGATTATTGAAGTGCCTGGAGGCATCCAGGTACAACCAACCAGGGAGAACTTGGATAAATATGGATTGCTAGGTCAAGGGCCTTAGCAAAAACTGAGTATGAATGTAAAACACTTCCCAAAGTCCACAAGAAAACCTCTAACAGCTTGGCTCTTTCCTGTTCAGCATTAAATGAGACTGTGTTAGAACTTCCTATAGTACAGATCTCACCAGAGGTCAAGGACTCCAGACTTCTCATCTCGGATATCTACACTACCCTTTAACACTTGTTAGGTAGATTTTGGGTGCTTTTTACTCATTCCCCCAGGTATATTTTGCCTCCAGAAATTAAGAGCAAATTAGTTAAAAACAAAAACAGTACTGGGCAGTAGAGGTGCCACTTGGGAGGCAGAGGCAGGCAGAGTTTGAGGCCAGCAAGTTCCAGGTCAGACAGAGCTACCAGACATAAAAAAAGACCAAAACCAAACAAAGTCATAGTTTGGATAGCTATCTTACTAGAGGTTGTCTAGGTCACAGGGAACACCGTAAGGACTTAAGACCTAGATGGCCCAACAACAATTTGGGCACCTACCAGTTAACAAAGGTAGTCTCAAACAGTCAAAGTCATTAGCTCCAAGATTATGTTTATAGCAATCTTTTCCTCTTGGTGTGAGTTTCTACTATTCTACCCATCCCGTCTCCCTTTTTTGAGACAGGGTTTCTCTGTGTAGCCTTGGCTGTCCTGGAATCGCCTTGTAAACCAGCCTGGCCTCAAACTCACAGAAATCCACCTGCCTCTGCCTCCCTGAGTGTTGAGCCACTGTGCCCAGCTCTCCCCTCAACCCCAAATTCCAAAGTAGGATTAAAAATTTTTAAAAAGATTTATTTATTTATTATGTATATAGTATTCTGCCTGCATGTACACCTAAATGCCAGAAGAGGGGGCCAGATCTCATTATAGATGGTTAGGAGCTACCATCCAGTTGCTGGGAATTGAACTCAGGACCAATGGAAGAGAAGCCAGTGCTCTTAACCTCTGAGCCATCTCTCCAGCCATCTACCTCATTTAAAAATCAATATAAGATACATTATTTCTGCTGGGTATGGTAGTGCATTCCTGTGATCCCAGCACTCGGGGAAGCAGACGCAGGTGGCTCTCTGTGAATCTGAGGCCAGCCTGGTTTACAAAGCGAGTCCAGGAAACCCTGTCTCAAAACGCAAACCAACCAAAGAAAGATACATTTTTTTTTTCTCCTCATTTCTAAGAGTATTTCCAAACTGTTCTTAACATACTACTGGTTTTGGCATCAAATTATAAATTAACACGCCTACAGTTCCAGCTACTTTGGAGGTGAGGAAAGAGGATGTTGATTTCAACTTAGGGAAACCATGTCATAAGAAAAGGGGGAAAAAAAGACTGGGATGTAGTACAGGGGAAGACGTATACTCAAAAACCTGCACGTATCCACTATTGGTAACTGTGTGGTGCTAGAGAGACCTAACACAGTACACCTGTGGTCTAACCACAGAGCTAGTCCTAGAATAGTCTTCAGTTAGCCAGAGGCAGGGAAAAAAAAAAAAAAAAAAAAAAAAAAAAAAAAAAAAAAGGCGATGGAGAGATGGAGATGGTTCAGCAGTTAAGATCACTCATGCTCTTGCAGAGAACTTAGGTTTGGTTCCTAGCATTCACACAGTAGCTGATAACCATCTGTAATTCCAGTCCCAGGGGATCTGTGGTGATCTGAACTCAAATGGCCCCCATTTGAATACTTGGTCCCCAGTTAGTGGAACTGTTTGGGATGGATTAGGTGTGGCCTTGAGTGAGTGTGTCACTGGGGGTGGGCTCTGAGGTTTCAAAAGACTCCAGGTTCTCAGTGCTACCTCTTTTTCACTACTTCTGCTTTCAGCTTGAAAGGTAAGCTCTCACTTGTTGCTGCCAACACTGCTTTTGCTCAGCTTTCATGAACTCTAACCCTTTGAAACCACAAGTTAATTAAATGTTTTCTTATATATGTTGCCTTGATCATGTGTTTTATCATAGCAATAGAAAAGTGTCACCAAGACAGGATCCTGGCCTCTTCTGTGTGCATGTGGTACACATACACTAATAATGCAGGCACACACAAACATATACAGAAAATCTGTTTGGGGAACAAGTAAAAGGAAGAGAGGGGTGTTAAAGAGTTGTGCCAAGATCAGAACTAAGAGTGTGGAGATCTATGGAAATACTCAGTAGATATAGTGCTTGTCATATAAATATAAGACATGAACTTGGATCTGTAGAACCCACACAAAACTGGATGTGGAAGCATGCATTTAATAATCCCAGTATTCCTACAGGGAGATGAAAAGTGGAAACAGAATCCCCAGGAGCACCCTGGCCAGGTAGCTGAGTGTTCAGAGCAGGAAACAAGAGCCAGGTTCAAACATGGTAGAAGTCAAGGGATGACTTGACTGAAGATGCCCTCAGAGCTCTACAGTGTGCTACCCAAACACTAAACACTAGAAAAGAAAATCAAAATTAAGTAATATGGTAGCAGTGTGAACACAGTATGATACTAGCAAGGAGACTAGGCAGAAATAAATTCAACTTCTGTCAAAATGGAGAAAGGGCTAGGTACTTCATGCTTCACTGGAAGCCAGCAAAAGAGCATGGAAAGTCTAGAGGGATCCATTCCAAACTTGTGACCTGCCAGCGATCAGATAGGTAGTTTGGCCCGGGGGATGTACAGATTAGGAAGAGGGAGAATAGGAGAAGGCAACATCCCATGAGGAGGACATTATGGACAACTGAAAGGCTAGTTACAAACCTTTCCCTAATATATGGGTTCCCATCTTGTATAAACTAGTGAGTACAGACAGTCTATCAGCAGACAGATACACACCTGTTTTCTTCCAAAACTCTACAGGTACATATCCTGTTCCTGGCCTACTGGTGAATTCCCGCTGAGAATCTACACAGAGAGATAAAGAACAAGGTGTCAGAAGCTGTCTTTAATCAGTATTCAAAACCCAAATTCTCAAATATGCTAGGCAATATAATCCCTAGCCCTGACATTAAATTTCTTTTGACCAGACTTGTTTTACTGCCTCGATCCAATCATGTGTGCTTGCTTAATGCAAAACATATTCAGAACAAGAGCTAGCTTCAGATTATGAAAGAGTATACTCAAGTTTATATCTAAGTATGTGCGCATGGTGCATCTAACTTTTTTTTTTTTGTGGTGTTGGGGATCAAACCTAGGACCCTGTTCATAAGCAAGTGCTCTACCAGTGGGATATCATATACATGTATTCAGTGTATCTTGGCTAGGGATAAGGCCCCAGGCTCCTTTCACTTTTGTTACTTTTAGATAGAGTGTCCCTATGTCATTCATGCTCTCTTTGAATTTTGTAGCTCAGGCAAGTCTTGAACTCATCCTCTTGTTTCTGCATCTTGAGTAGCTGGGATTATAGGCCTGTGCCAACAAATTAGGCTTGAAAACATCAAAGCGAAAAACCAAGGAAACACTCTTTAAATATGAAATTATAAAAATTTTGTAAGACAACACTAATTTGTTAGTGAGCCTAAAATAAAAGTTATGAGAAAAACGGGGATGAGAAAGCATTTCTACAATATCATCTTTCTGTGTTATATGATCTGGGACTTTTTAGGGTTGGGGATAAAGTTTCAGGATGCCACAATTCAGGAGGGCTTCAAACTAAAACAAATTCTCCTGCCTCAGCTTCCAAGGTGCTTTCACATGACCTTTACATAAGGCAATCACTTGTAAAATAGCATTTAAGTGGGCATGGTGCACACTTTTAACCCTGTGGGAAGGAGGCAGAGGCAGGCAGATCAATTTGAGGTTGAAGGCAGCCTGGTTTACATAACTAGTTCCAGACTAGCCAGGGCTATACAGCAGGACCTGTCTCAAAAACAAAACAAACAAAAAAAGCACTTAAAAAACTGCCTGGTCTACATAGCAAGTTCTAAGTCAACTAGGGCTTTACAGTGAGACCCTGTCACATATACAAAAAATGATAGAGAGATGGCTCACTGGGTAACTGCTTGCTATGAAGTTTGATAAACGGAGACTACTGGAGCCCAAATAAAGGAGAAGGAAAGAATCAACTCCCAAAATTTGTCCCCTGACCACCACAGGTACACGATGGCACATGTACCCACACACACCAGGCAGACATATAAGCATGAACACACATGATTTTTAAAATAACAAAGCATAACAAAATTTTTAAAACTTTTTTTTTTTGAGACAAGATCTATACAGCTCTGAATTCCTAGCCTCTCCATGCAGACTAGGCAGTTCTCTGCCTCCAGAGTTGGGATTAAAGTCATGCACCACCATGCCAGTAAAAGACTTTTTTTCCTTAAAAGATTTATACTTGGGGGCTGGAGAGATGGCTCAATGGTTAAAGGCACTGGCTGCCCTTCAAAAGGTTGTGAGTTCAATTCTCAGCAAACACATGGTGGCTCATAACCATCTATAATGTGATCTGATGGCCCCTTCTGGCATTCAGGTGTACATGCAGATATACAGAAAAGGTAAATAAAGCTAAAAAAAAAAAAAAAAAAAAAAATTTATACTTGATTTTCATTGTGTAGGGGTTTGAGTCTGCCCAGGGCAGGTGCCTGCTTATGCGAGATTCACTGAGGCTGAAGTTACAGGTGGTTCTGAGTCACCTGAAGTCCTACCCTCTGGAAGAGCAGTCAGTGTTCTTAACTGCTGAGCCATCTCTTTCTCGCCACTCCGCCCCCCCACCCCTTGGTTTTTCAGGACGGAGTTTCTCTATGCAACAGTCATGGCTGTCCTGACACTATGTAGATCAGTCTGGCCTTGAACACATATAGATCTGCCTGTCTCTGCCTCGAGTGGTGGGGTTAAAGGCAAGTACCTCCATGCCTGGCACTGAGCTGTATCTATTTAGCTCCAACTCTACCATGTTTTCCCTTCTCTCACTACCTACCCTTCCTTTTAGCCCAGGCTAGCACTGAACGTCTGAAACTCTTGTCTCTACCTACCAAATACTGGAATCACAGGTGTGTGCTAAGACCACATCAAGTTTATGTGGTGCTACGGATTAAACCCAGGGCTTAGTGCATGTTAAGTAAACACTACAACTACACTATATCCCAGACAAATGATAAATTTAAATGTTCTCAAAATCTTAGTAGGAACACTGGGATCCACAAAGCAGTAAACCTAGAGTGTCTAGAATTTGTCATACAAATTGTCTTCATTTTGAGGTGCTGGTAAGGATTTTGACAGATCACAGAAACAACTGTCCCAGGCACGTTAGACAAAATGGTCATCCTAGGTAGACTCTCAAGTTAAAGATTTGTACAGAGCAACAGAAGACAGCAGCGTTTTGGCGACTGCTGTTAGCTTGCACTCTGCCTCCTCAGCTGTACACATGCACACTCCGCGATGGAACACATATGGCAACTGCAGAGGATGAACATCAGGAAAGGGTCTCTAAGTTGTTGCAGGGACTATCAGTAAGGAAATTAATTAGCCTTGCCTGTTTTTTGAAGTTTTTAATCAAAGGTATGTGCACGCGTGCCTGTGTAAGTTGTTTTGTTTCTTCATATAACAGATTACCAGATATCCCACATAAAATGGTGCAATTGATGGCCAGCTCAAGAGCCAGGCCTATCAATAAGGAGGTAGAGTGGCAGCCCTTAGCTATTTAGGATAGGACACAAATTATTAATGCTGGCATTTCTTCTAAATTTTCTTCCAGTCCTTTTGAGACTAACAGCTGTCTTGCATGGAAAATGCTAGCACTGTCATAAGAAGAAATTCATTCTCCTTGATGAACATTTGGGAACTTTAAGTGGGTGGGTGGAGAAGAGTGTGATCACAGATGGCCTGTCATTCAGCTGTGCCTTTGGATAGGGCATTTTTTTCAGCTTCTGGGGGAAAGTGAAGAAACATTCTGGGGGATAACTCTGGCTCACTAGCTGTATCCTGCTCCTCTCTGCTGCTTCTAGACAAATAACCAGCTTTGCCTAAGCTAATCTTTTGAAGCAGCCAATGGAGGGTAATTGGGGAAAGGAAGCAAAATGGGTAAATACCTCCAAGAAGGAACATGGTGAGCACAGCCACACCTAGTGATGTGACACACATAGTCAGTACTTTTCTCTCTTACTGATTGTTTGTACTGCTGGGCTGAACCCAGGTCACACTGCTCAAGCTGGGCAAGGGTTCATCATTAAGCTACACCCAGCCACGAGTTTCGATATCACCCATTGTTTCTGGCTACTAACATCCTTCTACATAGGAGCTGACATCTCTCCTCCTCAAGGTATGCAAACAAGCTCTTGTTCTTGCCTTCACCCCTACCAAATCTTTCTAAATTGGGACTGGCCGCAACAAAATCATAGGATTTGCTGGGGGTGGTTGTTCACCCCGTGATCTCAGCAGTGGCAGAGCTGAAGCAAGTTTGGGATTAGCCTGGGCTACAGAATGAGAACCTGTCTTAAAAACCAATCCAGAAAATAAACAATAAACCCAAAACAACAATAACAAAACTGTTTGAATGTACCCTTGTCCGATAATATACGACAGGGGGTCCTGACCCATCACCTGGAGAAGGAATTCTGCAGAATAACAAAAAACACTGATGCACACAGGACAGCCTTGATTTCCCCATCTAGTCTATAGCAATTCAACTGCAAGGAGACAAAAGGCACAGGATCCAGAAGGCTGGAGCTAACATGTGCATTCTCCAGTGTGGCAGGTCCAGCAAGTCAGGATTCCTTTCCCCAGACCTTGTGCTTTGTGTCTCTTCATGTGTGTCCTTATTATTATTGTTGTTGTTTTTGGTTTTTCGAGATAGGGTTTCTCTTGTAGTCCTGGCTGTCCTCAAACTCTCAGAGATCCACCGGCCTCTGCCTCCCGAGTGCTGGGAACAAAGGTGTGTGCCGCCACATCTAGCTTTGTGTGTACCTTTACAAATAGATAAGCTTGCTTCCCTGGGTCTGTGAGCAGCTAGCTTTATGTGTACCCTTTACAAATAGATAAGCTTGCTTCCCTGGGTCTGTGAGCAGCTTGAGTAAATAAATCAAACCTTATGGAGGGATTTATGGTAAGGACAGTCGATATCCAGCAGGTCAGAACATGAATAAAAGAACCTGGGGCTTATGACTCACATCTAACATGGAGGGGAGTCAGGAGGATGACTCAATAGGTAAAAGGCCTTTGCAGCAGAGGCTGAAGACCAGAGTTTAATTGCTCAATCTCTGAAACCCACATAATGTGTGAAGAATATTGAATCATTAAGTTGTTCTCTAACCTATGTACACTGTAGGTCAACGTAAAAAAAAGTAAATATAAATAAAGGGCATGGTGGAAGGAAATAACCACTCCCTCTACAAGCATCTCCCCACCCCCACACTAAATAAATGTAGTTGGGCATGGTGGTCACACCTTTGCTCCTAGCACTTGGGAGGTAGGAAGAGTGAGTCCAATTTAAGATACACAGTAAAAGTCTCAAAAGCCAAACCAATTGAACACTACAGAACAAACAGAAACAATAAGCTCGGTTTCAGGCAGAGTGAAAGCTGCTCTTTCCAGGCTCCCTATGTTTCCTTACCATTGCTGAGAGAATCTGTACTCCCAGGGCTGTGCTGCCTAGAAACCAGCTCAGTCCCAGTTTTCCTTAACTCTGTGTTTTCGTTAAACCGCCTTTTCCAATAGTTGAGTTCTTCACGATCAGATTCCTGACAGCGCCTCAGAACTGCCATGGAGCGCCTCGTTTTCTCTACCATTTCCATAATGCAATTCAGGGCCTGAACCAGAGAGAAGTGAGGCAGAGATAAGAAATTTAAACCAGGAACAATGAAAATCAAGGATGGGTAAACAACTAGAAGAAAGGGGAAAAAAGGCTCACAGATTTTACAACCGTAGGAATAAAGTTTACATTTGAAAGTCATTCTTATACTGTGTTTTGTTTAAGCTAGATTTATGAATGTTTTGTCTGCACAAACCTATGTGCCTATGTGTGTGCCTGGTGCCCTCACAGGTCAGAGGAGGAAGAGGATCCCCTGGAACTAGAGTTCCTAATGGTTGTCAGCAGCCATGTGGATGCTGAGAAGCAAACCTGGGTCTTCTACAGGAGCAGCAAGTGTTTTTAAGCACCAAGTCACCTCTCCAGCCCCTCTTATACCTTGTTATTTTGTATACAAAGCTATCATTTCCTAGTCATAGAGACACTAGTTCCAAATCCTCTAGAACCACTCAAAGTCACAAGTACTCCAATTCCCTTACATAAAATGAGTAGCATTCGCACAACCCATGCACATCTATCCACATATTTAAATCACTTCTAGATTATAGTACCTAATGATTTAAAAAAAAAACAAACCAACAAGGGGCCAGCAAAATGGGTCAGCAGGTAGGGGTACTTGCTGCCCTCTGGAGCCCACAGGATGGAGGAAAGAAATGTCTCCTGAACCAACCCATGTGACACAACGTACCATCATACATACAAACAGACACAAAACATGCCTTTTTTTTTTTTTTTTTTTTTTTTTTTTTAAAGAAATGAGCAAACAAAAACCTGCTGTCTGTAAGTTAAGATGGCTCAGTGAGTAAAGGAATTTCTCAGCAAGCCTGAGTACCTGGTAATGTTAGATAAGCTAGATGTTTTTATAATGATGCAGGCTGTTCCGTGCTTACAGGAACTTGCTGCTCAGAGGAAGGAGCCTGGTTCAGCTCCCATCAAAATTCATCAGGTAGTGTGTAACTGCCTATAACTTCAGATCTGACACCCTCTTCTGGCTTCTGACAACACACATACACACACACACACACACACACACACACACACACACACACACACACCACACTACCTGTGGTTAGGATCAGGGTCAAATGATGACAATGTCTGAGGTAAGGACCAGGATCAGTTATCACTCAAAGATGGGCCACAACATGCAATTTTAAAGTAGGCACTACCCATTTTTCAGGCAGAAGGGACGCTCTATTCTGATGGGAACAAGAACACAAGGATATAGTCTGTACTAGCATGCTAATTCTTATTTGAATTTGTTTAACTCTATGCACCACATCCTATGAGAAATAATTTATGTACTATTACAAATCATGCTAGTTTTTTTTTTTTTTTTTAAAGAGAAAGATTACACTATTTTAGTATGTGTATGTTTTTGTGTGTGTTTGCTTGTGCACAACCTATGGCCCATGAGTGGAAGTGAGAGGACAACTTTAAGAATTGGTTCTTTCCCTCCACAATGTAGGTCTCAAGTGCCTTTGCCCACTGAGCTATCTCATTGAACTTTTTTTTTTTTTTTTTTTTTTTTTTAAGGAGAAAAAAATCTAGGCTAAAAGAGCTAAAGTAAGTCACCCAGCTCACAAAGGCAATAAGCAGAAAAGCAGAAACTTTTGCTTTAACTAACATTACTTGACTACTTGGTTTAGGAACTGTCAAAATCCGCCCACCACCAAGATTTGGGAGTGACTTTGAAGTCCTTCACCTCAACAAGTGGTGAATAAACCAACTTCTGTTAAATAGTCATGTTCATTTCAAGCACACATGAACTACTGGTACCATTAAGAATTAAGAGTTTCCAAAGCTACACAGAAAACCCTGTCTTGAAAAGCTGAGAGAAAGAAAGAGAATAATTAGGCACTGGATGCAGTAGTGCAAGCTTGAATAAGAAAGTAAAAACAAAAAGGTTGGCAAATGGTTCAGTATGTAAAGGGTGCTTGCTGCCAAGCCAGATGACCAAACAGCTGTCCTCTTACTCTCCACAGGCATGCCATGGCAGGTACACAAATGTGCATGCACGTAAGCACACGACACATACAAATACACACCAAACATACACACCAGCACACATCAAACCCACAAACCACCAAAACAAACAGAATTAGTGAAACAAACCATAAAGCTTTAAAAGTAAAAAGGACTTGGGGAAATTAAACATTCTGGGATTCTTACATGGTCAAGATGTTTCCATTCATCAGCCCATTCCCTTTCTGTCAAACGGTGGTCTACCAGCTCATCTTGATAACCTCCATTGAGACCTATTAGAAACAAGGTATTACATTTAAAGAATAGAGAAGAGCCCAGTGGTGCTGGTGGTGGCAGCACACACTTTTAATCCCAGCACTTAGGAGGAAGAGGCAGGTAGATCTCTTGCATTTGAGGCTGGTCTGGTCTACAAGGCGAATTCTGTGTAGCCAAGGCTACACAGAAAAATCCTGTCTTAAAATAAATAAACAAATTCTATCAAGTATACACGTAGATGTGTCAACTTAGAGCACACTAATGGAACGAATTACCACAAAATGACACAGCCAATAATACTGACCAATAAAAAGTTAGTATTCAGATCAATTAACTCCAGGGACTGAAGTACATATAGTTCAGTGGTAGAATGCTTAACTAGTATTACGCCCATGTGTTCCATTCCCAGTATTTTTGTGGGAATGTCTCCCACATGCTTAACAATTCCCTAGTAAAGACAAATATTGCAAAAGAAAAACAATCACAAGACCCAAAAGGTTAGATTGTTAGATTTTACTTGTATTTCTAATAATTTTAGGAAAAACTATATTTACATCTGAAAGTATACCTTGAAAAACTGTTGGTCACTTACCACAATGAATCCTTCAGGCTCATCAAAAAATGTCTATTTTCCCTAAACCTATGTGGAAATGTCTGCTCTATACTATTCTCATTCATCAAACCACCATGTGGCCCTCCTTCAATTGAATTAATAAGTGCACTTTCATTTACACCTCTAAAATTAAGTCTACGGAAAAGGAAGTATGGATAGTTCATAAGCATGAAGACAGCAAATCTTCTAAGTAGTCAGGGGTTATGTCCTTTTCCTTTGTTCACGTAATATTTCATATCCAGCATTCTGGAAGATAAAACACCAGAATCACTCTGTTGAGTGGGTTTTGTGGCAGCTTGAAAAAGAAGGGGCTTCACAGGCTCACGTATTTGAATGCTTAGTCACCAGAGAATGGCACCATTGCAAAGGATTAGGAGGTGTGGCCTTGTTAGAGAAAGATGTCACCGTGGGTGGGCTTTGATGTTTCAAAAATCCAAGTTAGGTCCAGTGGTCTGTCTTTTTTTAAATTATTATTAAAATTTATTTATTTTTATGTACATTTGGTATTTGGCCTACATATATGTCTGTGTGAGGGAGTCTGATCCACTGGAATTTGAGTGACAGACCAGACAGTTGTGAACTGCCATGTGGGTGCTGGGAATTGAACCAGGGTCCTCTGGAAGAACAGCCAATGCTCTTAACCACTAGCATCTCTCCAGCCCCCCAGTGGTCTGTCTTAATGCTGACTTTGTATCTGTATACAGACCTCTTCAGCACGTTTGCCTGCCTGCTGCCATGATTTCTGCCATGCTGACAATGGACTAAACCTCTAAAATTAAAAGCAAGCTCCAATCAAATGCTTTCTTTTATAAGAGTTGCTGTGGTCAAGGTATCTCTTCACAGCAACAGAGCACTAAAACTGTGCTGTAACACACATCTATAACTCTACTACATGCAAAGTAAAGGCAGAAAAAGTAGAGTTTCCTTTACCCTTGAGCTGTACTCCAAACCCTCTACTTCTCATTGCTATCTTCTAATAAAGCTATACCTAAGTACTAGGACATTTTATTGTCAATACTTTTTTTTTAATACATTGCATAGACTAACCCTAAAGTTATGGACCTAAGATAGGCTATAGTATGTGTAGATTTCGTTTTAGAGGAGTAAAGGAAAATGTTCTTATTGATTCAATTGGGGAGAGCCACATGATGGTTTGATGAATGGGAAGAGTAGAGGGCAGACATTTCCACATAGGTCTAGGGAAAACAGACATTTTTGATGAGCTTGCGGGATTAATAATGGTCATGGTAGGTGACCAACCGTTTTGCAAAGTACATTTTCAGATGTAAATAGTTTCCCTAAAATTGTTAGGGAATACATGTAAAATCTAACAAAATACAGTTATACCTAGCTTTTACCATTCTTCTAATAGGCAAAAACTGTTTATGAAGAGAAGAAAAAAATGGCAAGCCTGCCCTCCCACCACTTTAAAGATTTATTCATTTATTTTATGAGTGCTCTATCTGCCTGTATACCTACATGCCAGAACAGTGCATCAGATCCCATTACAGATGGTTGTGAGCTACCATGTAGTTGCTGGGAATTGAACTCAGGATCTCTGGAAGAGCAGTGTTCTTAACCACTGAGCCAGCTTTCCAGGATCAGCCTAGTTCTTAAAAATAATTTAATATTATTAATTTCCTCCAGATTAAAGCGATCACTTACTAAGATTGTGGTGCCTCTCACGAACTTCTCGGTGTTCCAGCATCTTGTTTGGCTCCCGATACAGGTGAGAAGTTGCAATGTCTTCTAAAGTATAGTGCTGAAGAGGTGGTGGAGTAGGATGGAACTGGCCCCCAGGATTCATGAGGGGAACAGTGAGGGCAGGACTGTGCCGGGGAGCAGGGCTGATAGTACACACTCTCTTGGCAGGTGGTTCAGGAGGAACTGGATCTCTTTCAAAGTTATTCTCTTCCCTCCTGTAGAAGAATCAGAAGTGCTTACAGAGCCTGTCACGAAGTGGTCATGTTAATACCCCTACCAAGTTTCAGGACAGTTGCTTCTTCCCAGCCACTCACCTCCCTGGGAAACCTGACCTTCAGATGCTCTGGAAGCTGCAACCCTCTTGAGCACTATGTTTTGTTCTACTCACTTCCAAAGAAAGAAGACTGTGAAATGGTTACTTTGGGTGCTGCAGCCCACATAGTAAAGCACATGCTTCATACTGTTACACTCCTAACCCCTCAGCTCTTGTACCAGGATGTTACCCAGGCTGCCTTTAGCCAAACTCCAGAGATCTGACTTTAGAGCCTCTGCTGTAGCTGTGACTTCTGGCTCCCGTACCCATCTCAGGAAACATTTAACAAGAGGTGTGAACAGAAATGTCCTTAGGAGTCAGGCACAGTTTGCAAATGCTTCTTTATTCCATTATAAAGAAAGAGAGGTCAAATTCACCCACAACTAGGCAGAACCATATAATCATGACACAGGAAAGGCGAAAGTAAATGGGACAAGGATTGACAAAGTTTAGGAATACTGAAAGTCAAATTTGTCAATATGGAGGTGAGCTGCTGGGAAGAAAGCTGCCTCTGTGACTTGTATTAAGTCAGCTCAGCTTCAACTGTAATAAGCTTTCAGGCACTACTGTGGCAGCCATTTTATCCTGCTTCCCGACATGCTAGTCCTAAAAATCCTTACAGTCTTCCAAGTGCTAGTCTAGAAAGCTGACTGGAAGCTGGCGGCTCCTAGGTAGCATCAAGACTGGGGCTAGGCATGGAAAGGACAAAGGCAGAATTATATTAACCACCCTACGGAGGGGAGGTGACCTGAAGCCTAAGTTGACGATGAGTTAGCTGACAATATCACCAATCAAATCTATGTAATGAAGCTTCTAGGAAAAACAAAACAGCAACAACAACAATGAATTTCTGAAGGGCTGAATATGTGGCATCTTCTTGGTGATGGTGGGACAACTACCAGGAGAGGACAGATCCACTCCACACCCCAACACCACCCTGTGCCTTGTCTTTCACCTACTGTTCACCAGTATCCTGTAAACATACCCCTAATCATAAGCCAGCTAATGTTCCTCAGTTCTGTGAAACACCAAATACACAAATCTGAGGAAGTTATAAAAAGCCCAATTTGGCCCAGCAGTGGTGGCATATGCCTTTAATCCCAGCACTCAGGAGGATGAGGCAGGCTGATCTCTGTGAGTTTGAGGCCAGCCTGTTCTACAAAATAAGTTTAAGGACAGCCAGGGCTACTACATACGGAGAAACCCTGTCTCAACCCCCTCCCCCCCCCCAAAAAAAAGAAGACCAATTTGGAGACTATCATTCAGAAACCGCCAAGAACAAAGGAACAAAGCAAAGGGCACAGTTGTTAACCAGACAGTATTCACAATCACAGCCTGAGACTCGTCAATGGCTTAAGGGAGAGGACAATTCTGGAAGCTGAGTCTTTAACCTGCAGAGTCAGCTCTAGCTCCAGGTAGCGAACAATTGTAAAGAACCATTGCAATGGCTGCTTACCAGATATGAGGGCCACACACACACACACACGGTAAATTTTTTTTTTTTTTTTTTTTTTTTTGCAGGTGTCTGAGTGATAAAGAAGGAGCTTCGTGTTCTTCAACTTCTGGAGCAGTGGATCTGTCTAAGCTCTAGAGCAGAGCTCCTCAACAGCAATGTGTGGTTATCAGAAGAGTTGTTGGGACAAAGAAAAACTAACCTTGGGACAGCTAAGACAGTATGTGCTGTATTAGTATCTGCTATAACCCAACAACCAAACTCTCTTTTTTTAAAAGCAGAGTGGCTCCAGAAAAACAGAACAGATCTATTCTTTGCTCACCTTTCTGGACTGGGCCTCTTTCCATTTCCGTGAACCTCCATAAGCAGTTCAGAAGAGTCAGCAGGAGATGCGATACTGGTGTTGAGCAGAAGGTGCTCGTGCTGAGCCAGGTACTGGGATGGGGTCTGCTTGGCAGCCCGGGCGCAGTGCAGCAGTTCTCGCTGCAGCAGAGGCAGGTTGGCCTTGAAAAGAAAAGAGGCAGTCTGCTGAGCCCTACCTACAGAGACTAACATCTCAATGACCAAAAAGCCCTCTTTGCTTTCTCCAACGCTCACAAGTAAGTGACAACCAAGTAGTAAGGGGGCATTTTTATTTGCATTACTGGTTGGTCTGTTTCTTCCTCTAAGAAGACAGGGTTTTCCTACGTAGCTTTGGCTGTCCTGGAACTTGCTCTGTACACCAGGCTGGCCTCATTATGCCTCTGGCTCCAGAGTGCGGGGATTAAAGGCATATGCCACCACCCACCAGCTGACAAACTTTGTTTGTTTGTTTTGGTTTTTTGAGACACGGTTTCTTTGTGTAGCCTTGGCTAACCTGGACTCACTCTGTCGACTAGGTTGGGCTTGAACTCACCAAGATCCGCCTGCCTCTGCCTCCCAGTGCTGGGATTACAGGTGTGCGCCACCACCTCAATCTTTTTAAAGGGATTATATTGTATTGTTACTTTTGTGGCTTGATACAGAACACAACACTGGTTTACTGAACACATAATTTTAAAACATACATTTTTAAAAAGATGTCTTTGGTTTTTAAGTGTGTGTTTATGTTTGGGTATGAGAATAGAGATTCCTTGGAGCTGGAGTTACAAGCAGTTGTGAGCCATAGTACTGCGGGTGCTATGCATCAAACTTAGGTTGTCTGTAAGAGTAACAAATACTCCCTTGACCACTGGGCTGTCTCTCTAGCCCTAAAACATATATTTCGGCAAGAATTTTTCAGTCTGAGAAATAGGAATAGGTCCAAATGCAGACAGGGCAAATGTTCTATTACTAAACTGCATCTCCAGCACCCAAAATACACATTTTCTTGAAGACTAGCCAGTTAGAGAATTACCACTGCCTAAAAAGGAGAATTACAGCCCTCATTTCTCTCTTCTGAATCACAACCCTTCTCAAACGGTGACATTCAACCTTCTCTTAGGGTTCTCTGGAAAGATCCTGGAATCCTAGAAACTACCATTACTCTGGAAGTGGGGTTTTGAAGAAGAGTACTAGGAATAATGTAATCTGGAAAAGGAAAATAATGTTCTGCTATTATTTTCCTTCTCATACTAAGAAAACTTTCGGTAGATTAAAAAAGAGAGAGAGATAGAGAGAGAGAGAGAGAGAAAAGCCAAAACATAAAAATTCCCTATATTTTTAAGAATCTGAATTCTTTCCTCAGATTTCTTTTTATATACATCAAAAAAAATTATATTTTCCCCTAAATTTAAACATAATTCAGGGAGAGCCTATAATAAATGCCTTTTCCTCAAGGGACAAATGAGCAAGTAAAATGTTTTAATACATGTAAGTATTCACCCCCTCACTGAGGGTTAATTTAGCAGGCACCATAATTAGTGGCTGTTTTAAAGCAGAAATAAAATTGACAAAACCTCAAATGGTAGCCAAAAAGCTGCCATAACAACCTACCTCATGCTGTTTTCCAAATAACGCAGTTAAGAATAGAGAATTTGAAGAAAAAAAAAAAAAGAATAGAGAATTTGACAAGATGAAATACTTCTTAAGTCTGGTCTAGAATCTCAATCTTACAACTGCAAAAACTTAATTGAAAAACAAACGTGAGATCTTTACATTTGTGACTTTTTTCATTTTTGGTGTTTTGAGACAGGATTTGTCTGTGTAGCCCTGGCCTGGCTGTCCTGGAACTCACTCTGTAGACCAGGCTGGCTTGGAACCACCAGAGATCCTTATGCCCCTGCCTCCTAAGAGCTGGAATTAAAGGCATGTGCCACTACCACCACTGGGGATAAATTTTTCTTGATTCTAAAGTCTCAGTAAATAGGTGCCTATAGATTCAGACATAAAGAAAAGACAGCCAGTGTTCAAGCAGCACAGCGGCTCCAGAGTTGACAAAGGTCATACAGTGCTTTCAGCCACCAAGGTTTCCATGCTGCCAGAAGCACAGCCAAGCATAGGCCTGTACAACTTCAAACCAGAATATCTTCCTGACTTGACTGGCTTCCTGTGCTACAGTCCAAAATTGTTTTAAGAACTAGTAACAGATCAGGCAAAATATCCTGCACCTCTAGTTCTAGCACATGGGAGGCTGAAGCAAGAGGATCACAAGTTCCAGGCCAGCACGGGCAACCTAGTCTGAGTCTTAATGAACAAAACCAAAATAAACCGATATCAGTACTTTACGAAAGGGGGTAAGTTGCTTTGAAGCTTTCACATTTTCTCGGGGCTGGATGGGCTCAGTAGATAAAGGCACTTGTTGCTGAGCCTGATAAGCCAAGTTTGATCCACAGGTGGACAAAAAGGACAATTCCTGCTAGTTATCCTCTGGTCTCCACACATATGCTGTGACACCCACCCCCAAATCAAACAAAATCAGAACAGAACAAAACATTTTTAGAAAATTAAAGTAAGTTAAAGGAGAGCAAAGGGGCCAAGGTCACATCAGACTTTGTTAGTTAAGAAACAGAATTAACTTTAAGTACTCATTTCATACATGTATAAACAAAATCTAAAATGTTAACTGAACACTGTAATTTCTGTAATATAAATCTATGAATAAAATAGTATTTTTTTCAGGAAGAAAAAATATTTCGTTTACTTGTGTTTTAAGTGGGTATTCTTTAGCATTAAATCAGCTGCAAATGTTCATCTGTATACAGCATTCTTAGCATTACATAACAACATGGTATGCTAGATTTGTTCAATTTCATTGACGACAAAACTCTTGACTCTAACTTTCATTGGCTTTGAGCAGTTCCCTGTATAACTTAAAGATAACTGATAAGTAAATACAGAATATATTTAAAAATGTAAATATTTGTAATTTTGTAAATAACATACAAACACATCTTAAAAATACTGTAAAAACATGGAAGACCCTAATAAAGATGCTCAATCCTCATTCAGGGGGACAAACACGACAGACATTGGAAGCAGAAGACAATGGAACAGGACAGGAGCCTACCACAGAGGTCCTCTGAAAGACTTTACTGATTGAGGTATTGAAGCAGAGGCTGAGACTCTTTCCCAAACTTTGGGCAAAGTGCAGGGAATCTTATGAAAGAAGGGGGAGATAGAAAGACCTGGAGGGGACAGGAGCTCCAAAAGGAGACCAACAGAGCCATAAAAACCAAGTCCTGGAAAAAAAAAAAAAATCTCTTTTTTATTGTTATTTTTTTTTTTTAATTGGAGGTGCTCTCTGGGCCTTATGACAAGCAGGTCTTCTACTGAGCTTAACTGCAAGCCTTGACAGTACTCTTTTGTTTGTTTTTTTGAAAAGGATCTCTGCAGCCTAGGCTGATGTAAACTTGTGAGCCTCTTGCCTCAGCCTCTCAAGTGCTGGGACTGAAGTGGTGTGGCCCCATGCTATGTGGAAAAATAGTCATTTAATCAGAGAAGACATTAACTTTATAAAAAAAAAAAATCACAGCAGACAACCAGCTTTACTAAATTGTCAAAAAACAAACAAACAAACAAAAAAAAAAAACAACCCCAAAACGCATTATCGATGATGGAGCCAAATCATTACCTGTGTCCATCCTGTGCCAGAATGTAGTGATACCATTCACTGTAATTGCTTTTTTTCTTTTCTCTAGTTGGTGGGGGAGATGATAATTACTTATACATATACATTGTCTTTGGCTTTTTAGACATGTTGCTATGTAGCATCAGCTAGCCATATATTTGCTACGTAGAGCAGGTTGCCCTTGAACTAGAGCAGGTCTCCTGCCTCTGCCCCTTGGATGCTGGAATTACAGGCATGTAACACCATATACTAACCTAGCAGCAATTCTTAACTAAAATGTATCAAATGACTTTAGGCTTCAAGAAGAGGAAGTTCCAGACTAAAGCAAGCTGAGCTTCTTTACAATAGTTTAGTGCCCTCTAAACTATTAAGCTCTTGGGACTGGAAAGATGGGTCATACTTAAAGGGCCCTGTTCTTGCAGAAGACTCTAGTTAGGTTCCCAGCACCCATATCAGGTGGCTTAAAACCAGCAGTAAAGCCAGTTCCACGGGATCCAACACCCTCCTCTGGCCGTCACAAGCACCCAACAATTACATTTACATATACACAAAGACATTCATACACATGATTAAAAATAAAATTATTCAAAGCTGAAACACTCATTAAAAGTGGAGAAACTGTTCTAGAATACTACTACATTCATTGCAGAGCCATGATGAAATATAGACCCAGAACTACACTCCTCACATTCAACAAAAAACATGGTTCTTCATTTGGGAGAGGTGAAATAGCACACATGTTTAATCCCAGCACTGGGGAAGCAAATGCAGGTGCATCTCTGTGAGTTCAAGGCTAACCTGGTCCACAGAGCAAGTTCCTGGCAATATAGTAAGAACAGTCTTTCAGAATGCTTCTCTTTCCATTTCAGAAATGGCACAAGTATTAACAGTGCCATATATTTCACACAAAAGCGTTTTTCAAGGACATCTAGAGTAGGAATTGGTGTTTTGGAGCAGAAAAGAATCCTGTATTTGTGTCTTTTAATGCCATGACTCAGGGCCACATTTGTTCTTCAAGCCCTTTCAGATACTACATATATTAGCAGAGCAGAAAAAACAGGCACACAGGCACAGAAGCTATATCACTGGGATGTACCAGGAAGACAATTCCACTAGGGAAAGGTCATAAAGGCTTCCCTATACTTCAGCTGAGAAAAGGCCAGCAGGTAAGTGGAACAGAAACAGCCCATAAATAGCATCTGTGGCAGAAACTAATGAGCCATGTAACAAGCCCCTTTCTCCTAACATCTAGTTTAGATTTTCTATCATTTGCTGTAATTAGGTAGCACCATGTAACTGAGTCCTGGCCAATGGAGAGATAGAGACACAGAAAGATAGGCACACAGGTCTGTGTCCTTCAAAACCCTTCATGCAAGCATTCTCTCTAGCTCTTTCCCTAAATTTCAATCCCTCTTGGCCATCAGCTAATGGAATTTGTGCTCAATCATCTAGAAAGCCACAGGTTAAAGACTCTGGAATTTTCCTCAGCCTGTGGTCTTGAGTGACTATGAGAAGAAAGGGCCTTTCTCCCAAATCCTTTTACCAGACTGTTTTGTACGACTATGGAATTAACCAACTGATTATACCACATGAACATACATAGGCTTAACTTTTCTATAAAGAGCATTAATGGGATGCTAGTAGAGACAGTCTGTATATCAGACCCCAAGTATTGTCTGAATGTTAGCATCTTGATTTAACGGCTCTGGAAAAGCTCCTTGAGCCACCATGTGGGTGCTGGGAATAGAACTCAGGACCTTTGGAAGAACAGACTGTGCTCTGAACCACTGAGCCATCTCTCCAGCCCAACCCAGCTCCTTGAGAGATCATTTGCTTAGCATGCTTGAAGCCCAAGAGTGCATATCCCTAGTATCAAGAAAAAGGAAAATTATTTTTAGATACATAGGACGTAGAAGAAAGGGGCACCCAGTATGAGGTAGGTGTGTGTGTGTGTTTTAAAGATTTATTTATCCATTATTTATGCAGTATTCTGCCTGCATGCCAGAAGAGGGCACAAGATCACATTATAGATGGTTGTGAGCTACCATGTGGTTGCTGGGAATTGAACTCAGGACCTCTGAAAGAACAACCAGTGCTCTTAATCTCTTATCCATCTCTCCAGCCCAGGAAAAATTTAGATATATCACACCTACAGCTTTTTTTTTTTTTTTTTTTTTTTCCTCTAACTATCTGAAAAAGGGTGGAGGGACACAATTGTGAAATGCTACTGTTTGGGAAACTTGCTTGGGGCCATAAAGAAACCTTACTGTATCCTTTTACAGCTCATCTGTGAGCATAAAATTACCTCAAAATAAAAACACTTTTAAGAAAGTAAGTGTGGTGATTTAATAGTGATCCTCATAGACTCATGTTTGAATGCTTGACCCACAGGGAGTAGACTATTAGATATAGCCTTGCTGGAGTAGGTGTGGCCTTACTGCCATAGTCACGGTGTCTCTTCATAGTAATAAAACCTTATTAAGAAAGTAAGCATGATAATTTAGAACTATGTGCCCAAAAAGTATGTTCCAGGCAACAGTAATTCTATAGCACATTAAGTAGACTGTATTACCTGGGGTTTGAGGAAACAGAACCACTGCCTTCTCACATCTTTTTGACACAACTGTAAACGGTCTCCTCTCAGATTAACATATGCTCTTCCTCTTCAGACCACATCCAAAAGACTTAATGGTACTTCTTCCCCTTCCACAAACGTGTATACCTCCAGTTCTCTTTCTTCCCTCTTTATTCCTTTACTTGCGCCTGTTTTGCTATATATATATATACTTCTGTTTGCAAACAGAAATTATTCTCATTATGTATGAGGCCGAATTTACAACCTGCTTACCTTACAGCCCCAAATAAAACAAAGATATGAAAATGCAGCAAACTGCCTTCACTGAGATCACAGAGCTGATGATAAATTACATTGAATACTTCTCAGAATTACCTTGAGAAATGGAATCACAAATGGACGAAGAGGAAAGTTTGTAGCCTCCTGGAGCTTGCAATGGAATTCTTCAATTGTCACTGTTGAGTTCTGGAAAGAGAAATAATATTCAACATCCAAAACTGGACACACTCAGCAAAAATAAGTAGATTAAAAATATATGGAAAGCCCAAAGGAATGATCTGAAATTTCCCTATAGATGGACAAAGTGATAATACAAAATTTGTAGCAGAGAGAAAGTGACGCATGCAAGAGGGAGACTCAAGGCTGCATCTCAGATGAATGAGCTGTCATACCAGACTGCCTTCAGTCAACTGTTAAATCACCAAGAACATAACTGTTTGTTTTTGGTTCCCTCTCTAAGGAATGCACAGTCCAGCAGGAAATCAGACTGCTAAGTTTTTCACATTTGTAATAGTGAGATGGCTCAGTGGGTAAAGATCCTTACTGCCAAACCTGAGCTCCACTCCCGCAGTTGTCCTCCGACTTTTATACATATACAGTGGTGCAAGTATACACACATTTACAATAAATAAATTTAATTTAAAAATTTTGTTTGTTTTTATTTTTGAGACTGAGTCTTACTACATAGCCTTAGCCTATGAACTCCTAGAGCTCCGCCTGACTCTATCTGTCTCCAGAGTGCAGGGATTAAAGGCATGCACTACTATATCTGGCCCTACATGGAAAGGCTTCTTCAAGACAGGGTTCCTCTGTGTAGCCCTGGGTGTCCTCGAACTAAGAGAGACATCCCAGTGCTGGAATTAAAGAGTGTACATCCCACCACCTCCCAGTTTAATAGATTTTTTTAAAAGATTTATTTATTTTACATATGTACACCTGCAGGCCAGAAAAGGGATTCAGATCCCAGTATCGATGGTTGTGAGCCACCATGTGGTAACTGGGAGTTGGACTCAGGACCTCTGGAAGAATGACAGTGCTCTGAACTGCTGAACCACCCAACAGGTTTTTGTTGTTGTTTGTTTGTTTGTTCCTAAAGCTCAGAAAAGGTAATCTTGGAGAGAGAGAAAATTTGAAAGGTAAAATGTTAGACTTAGTCAAGGGAACATCTACAATGGACTTGGGAGATAAAATGCAGAGATCAAGATAGGATCCCAGACCTGAAAGCATTTTAACTTTTGCTTGCCTGTGGAGACAGGGTCTATCTGACATCCAAGTTGGCCTGGAACAGCAGCTTACTGAGTGCTGGAATGAATTATTTAATGCATACCTTTGCAATTTTTTAAATAAATTATAGACTAACAAAGTTGCAAAGGCAAATTAAAGGGATAAAGAGATGTCTCAGCAGTTAAGCGTACTGGTTTGGTTCCCAGCACCCGCAAGATACCTCACAACCAGCTGTAACTCCAGCATTAGGGGATCTAATACCCTCCTTTGGCCTCTGAAGGACCAGGCATGCATGTGGTACACAGATACACAATGAGGCAAAGTACTCACACACGTGAAATTACAAATTTTTAAGCTAAAAAAATTAGAAGAGTTAAATACAATGGGCCATTTCTTTAATCTCCTCCACTGTTAACACCTTATGAAACTCACACTGATCAAGTGTACCTATAGATCTATACCACTGCCTGTATACTAGCCACTGATCAAGACATGGCAGTTGAAGGTCCTGGGCTGGTAGGACGGCCCCACAGGTGAAAGTGCTGCTGCCATGCAGGATGACATGCATTTTCACTGAAAACAGTTTCTAATTAACTTCTTAAGGTGACAATTCTGAAAACATTAAAAGTTTTTAACTTAATATTTAATGTTTAAAAGATTTATTTTTGTTTAATGTATAAGGTTTTATCTGTGTGTATGTACATGTAACATGTGTTTGGTGCCTGTGCATGCCAGAAGAGGATGCCAGAACCCTTAGAACACACCCATACACTAAATAAATAAAAATTTTAAATATAATAAAAATAGAAAAACAATGGGGGGGGGGGCAGTTCTACATGAAAGCCAAACTGTCAGTTGATCTGAAACTGGATGGGAAAACATCTACAATGATGTAAAACTTTGACTAACTGACAAGGCAGAAGCAACAACCTAGCGCTCCTCATAGAGCACACATGGATAAACAAAATGCTGTACACAGATGACAGAAGATGCCTTGTCCTTTAAAAAGCATTGCGCATTCATCACAGCATTGCCAAACCACGAGAGGGTTGGGGGTGTAGCTGTATTGGTACAGTGCCTGGCAAGCGTGAAGGCCTGAATTTGATCCTAGTAGTACCCAGGCTGAACATAGTGGTCCATGATTATAATTCCAGCCCTGGGGGGGTAGAGAAAAGTAAGTTGCAAAAAGTCGTCTTAAGCTACACAGTGAATTCAGCGTGGGCCACATGAGACATCCTCCAGAATAACCACATAAATGAAGCTGAGTGATGGTGATGGCGTAACAACGGGAACGTCTGCACGAGCAAGTGATAAAACGGGCTTTCAGAACCAATAAGCTCCATAGAGAAAGTACCACAGAAAGTGAGAGCTGGAAAAGCTTTAAGCTGAGGAAAACCATCGGAACATGAGCAAAGGAGAGCCTGTGTCTATGACACCCTCTTCTGAACCACTACATGCATGGTACATTGACATGCATGGTACATACAGGCAGGTGAAACACCCATACATATAAAACAAAAATAAATAAATCTTGGGTTGGAGAGATGGCTCACTGGCTGCTCTTCCGAGGGACCATGTGGGACCAGCACCCACATGGCAGCTACAATGATCCATAACTCCAGTCTCAAGAGACCCATCACATGCCTCTGGCCTCTTCTGACACTTCACACACATGAAATACATGCATGCATATAAACCAAAATACTCATACAAATACAAGAAAGTAAACTTTAAAAAGGTTAAGTTAGTCTCAAGTCAATAATGCCAGTTTAAATTGAGTAACAAGTAGGTTTTCTCTAAATAAATAAACAGAATAAACACACACACTACCTCACTTTCTCTAAGTGATAGAAGTGGCTCACTGTTTCTGGTTATGCTAAAATATTGGATTCTAAGGTAGGCATAGATGGCCAACAAGACCCAGCCACAGGAGAAGTCTTGAGCAGTGTAGGCTCTCTGGGCAGAAGCTCTGTATCTAGTCTCTCTGCTCAAGGGAGAGCGGGCCTGTGTAATCATGGAATGGGAAGAACTTAAGGAAGCTGGTGCATGGATACCTCTAGACTCTGCCCATGTACATCTCCTTTACAATCTACTTGTCTGTTTTTATTGTGTCTCTGGAATAAATGTTGGCTGTGAGTACCACCATATGTCAAGTCTGGAGAAGATAACCAATCTACAAACATGGAGTAGTATTAGGGACCCCTGATACACTGACCCTAAATGTAAAAAACTCAAATGTTTGTCAAAGCCAAATTGTATAAACTATTGTATAATAAAGCAGTACAACAAAACAATGGTAGCTCATGCCTTGAAATTCTTGTGCTAAACAGGTAGAAGCAGGAGAATCAAGAGTTCGAGGTCCTAGACCACATAGAATTCAAGGCTGGTTCCCCTGCATGAGAGCCTATTACGTTTTTGGTTGGAAATAGGCTCTCATATACAGCTCGCTGGACTGAAACTGAAACTTGATATAAAATTATGTAACTTAGAATGATCTTGTATGCTGATCTTTCTGCCTAAACACACAGAGTGCTGGGACTGAACTGTGCCCAGGGCTGTGGACATGACAAGTACTCTACCAACTATGCTGTCTCCTGCCCTCAAGTATACTGAAGATCCCCTGGGGTTTCCTAAATTCTAATTTAAAGTACCAGTACAATAATTCCTCTTTTTATCATAAATAAAAGCTAACATGCAGGAAAAAACACAGAATGCTTCTATCAGGAATGAATCTTACAGTTTTTCATTTGGAAACACTTGAGAACTGGCAGCACTTTCCTTATAAGTTGAGAATATTAAATTCACCCAGATGGCAATATAGAAAGTTAATTCTTTACAAGCAGGCTCACTATGAACAGTATAGAAAGAAGACTAAAGAAACTATGTATAAAAAACTAAACAATATAACTGCTTAGATACTATTTATTTAGACCATGAAACTTCTAATTTTACAAAATATTGTTTTGAAAATTAAAGTTGTTTTGCAAATAACGCACCAGCTACTGAGTATGCTGATGTACAAACAACCTTCTATTCATATGGCTGGACCTTGGCAGGACTGCCGAAAGCTGTTTAAATCCAAACTGCTTACTGTAATTATATCAGCACCTTAGATAATAAGGTGTCTTATTAAATGTTTTGACAAATAATTACTGCTATGAAATCTATAATTCAGCAATTTTAGAAAATTTGAGAAACAACAAATCTAGTCTACAGTGTGTATGCTGAGAATGAGCAGAAATATCACAAGTTCTGAGGCAGCTTGATGAAGGTGGCTGTACTTACCACCAATGCTAAGACAAGAGTCCGAACCTTCTCTCCAATTTCAGGTGAGATGTCATTGCCAAACTGCTGCAGAGTAGTGAGAAAGCGTTTCAACTTGCTGAGTTGCCGTGCACCACAAGTAGCTGGCAACTGTTGATTTGTTAGTGCAGATGATGTGGAAGAGGCAGGACCATTGCTGAATCTCTGCGGTGGTGATGGGGCACCATTCAGGGTAGGCGGGGAATGGTTGATGCCATTGCTTACTAAAAGAAAGCCAGAATGACAAGATTCAGTTGAAGTACAGAGCTTAAGAGCCTTTGCTGACTTCTTCACCTTTATGCTCTCTTTCGTTTATTCATTTGAATTCTCTAAAGAATTTTAGTGTAAAAAAATTGTTTCCACCCTCAATGAGACTAAGTACAAAGACAGACTGTCAGAAAAAAATGGTAACAGAGTATTGTACAAATGTTAAAATATATGTGCTTGTGCTGTAGTTATGGCTACTCAGAGGACCAGAATGGGATAAAATGTATATGCTTAGGAATTGAGGATAGCCTTGGTAACACAGTGACATTCCATTTAAAATAAGCACGCAAACAAAAAAGTAAATAAATGGGGTGGGAAAGGCAGTAGAAGAAAAAGCACAGGAGGAATAACTAACATTAAAGAACTTTGGAAAGGTCATACAGAAACCTACTATTGTAGAAGCTTCCTAAAATATACACATATAGAAAAAAACTTCAAATGAAGCTACTCTGACACTACCAAATAAAACTCCTGGCTTACCTCTTTTTAAGCTGTTAAGACGATGGGGTCCAGAGACCACCCCAACCCCAAACATTAAAAGCTACTGCCAATGGTATTTGTTGCCATCTAGAACTTTCTATAAGACCCTACTGCTGGAGACACCAATACAGGAGTCATCAAACATGGAGAAATCTAGTTGGTATGTAACTAGAAGCTTCATCCTTACTGCCTAGTGTTCAGTGTTGAGAGAGTGCTATGTATGCTACTGAAGAAGAAAACAAATCATCAATCTTGAAACCAGCTGTGAACTCTGAAAGTTACAAATAAGGACCTTGTAACCAATCACTTTTTGAGTGGACTTAAGGCTTCCTCCATAGACAGAACCTGTATCTGATACTGTCAACAAGGCCAAAAACCTACTGTTAGATAGTTCATGAGCCCTAATGGAAACCCTACTACTACTATTTGCTAAATGGACATGGCAATAAAATTACTCCTAATGACTTATTTTTATATGTAGAGATGATTGCATCACTCAACTCTCATCAGATAAGCTTCTTGCAGCAGATGGCAACTAACAAAGAAACCCACAACTGGTCAATATGCACAGAATAAGAGATTTCAGAATGTTCAACCCTAAAGAGGATGTCTATATTAACACTCTTCCCCTCATGGCTTAGGAAATCTATGAGGAAGACTGTAAGGTACAGAGATGGTGGATATATTCAAGGAAACTGTTTTTCACATACAATAAGGCAGATACACATATTAATTTATAGAGATTGATTGTGAATACACATACAAGATCAAGCCAGACAAAATTTCAGCATAGAAGAGGAAAGAAGAAGAGAGCTGGGCACAAAGTCCATCCATACCCATTCTGTCCTCCCACCCATGTCCTCAATGAGCAGCTATTGCCATTTGATTCTTGCTGGGAGAAGTAGTCAGTTTTCCTCAATATAGTGATACCTGGTATGTCAACCATACCCAGAAGTAATCAGCCAACACAAACTAGACTGAAGAGGGGAGTGAGAAAGAGGACAGGGTGAAAGCAATATGAGCAAGAGACAGAGACAGAGTGAGCAAGAGAGAAGATAAAGTTGAACAGTTGGGGAAAAAAAATCTGAAAGGAATTGGGGGAGAGTTGAATCCAATCAAAATATATTGTAGGAAATTTTCAAAGATTAATTAAAAGAATTATTTACAAAACAAACAAGCAGATACAAAACACACACACAATCACCACAGAGTACTACACAGAACAGGAAAAAGCCAGCTATAGCAATGCCTACGTTGAATCCCCGCACTTGCCTGAGGGAGGATATCGGGTTCAAGGACACCTGACTATAGTGAGTCCATGTTGGGGGGGAGGGGGGGAATCACAGGGACAGAGGAGCATTCAACTACAGACACCAAAGGCGGTATTAGGATGTTTTTAACAGACATCAGCCACGCATGGTGGAGCACACCCAACACTTAGAGGTCACATAAGAATTAAGAGTGCAAAATCAAATCCTCAGATACAGCCTGAACTATATGAGACAGTGTCTCAATAACCAAAGTGCTTGAGGTAAGCTGGAGATTGACAGGAAACTCATACCTTTACTTTTTCTTGCCCTTAAGATCTATTTATTTTATGTATATGAATGTTTTGCCTGCATGTATGTCTGTGCACATTGTGCCGGGTGCCCATGGATGTCAGAAGAGGTGGCTCGATCTCTTCCGAACTAGAGTTAATAGTCAGTTTTAAGTTGCCATGTGAGTGCTGGGACATAAATCCCAGTCCTCTGCAGTACCAAAAAGTGCTCTTAACCCCTGACTCATTTTCCCCAGAGCTAGCTTGCTTGCTTCCTTCCTTCCTTCCTTCCTTCCTTCCTTCCTCTCTTTCTTTCTCTCTCTTTCTCTCTCTCTTCCTCCCTCCCTCCCTCCCTCCTTCTGCGACAGGGTCTTTCACCATCACCTTGAACTTGCTATGATACTCCTGCTTTGGCCTCCAGAATACCATTGATTATAGGCATAACCACATTCAACTTCCTGTTCATTATATATCTTCCCATTTTGAGAACCTCAAAGAAGCCAAGCAGCTACAAATTAGCATGCAAGAAATACCATCAGAGAAACAGAATTAATGTCAGAGACATTTAAGGTTTTATCTTTATGACCTAATTCTGCATCAAAATCTTTGGCCATTCAAAATACTAATGTCTGTTAGAGTAGTTTTCCTCTTGTTTTGACAGATTGAATAATGCAAAATTCTTAGTCATTGAGGAAAGTACCTTCTAAAGTTAGGAGTGCTCCTAGCTACTCAGAGGTTAAGGGAGAAGAATCACATGGGACTAGAGATTGAGACCAGCATAGCAAGACTCCATATATACAAAAAAGAAAAGGAAAAGAAGAAAGAGGAGTAGGAGTAGGAGGAGAAGTAGGAGGAGGCACCACTTAAATTCCATAAAGCATCTCCCATTATTTATTTTTGATCAAATTATGATAAACATGATTAATTAGTATTCCAATTTTCCTGCTATTATCAGTAGTTACTTCTTGTAGTTTTAATTTGGAAAACCTCAGGATTAAATTTACATATATATGTAAATTTATAAATATATAATATAAATTATATTATAATTTATAAATATAATATAAATTATATATATATATATATATATAGAGAGAGAGAGAGAGAGAGAGAGAGCGCCATTCTTTTTCTATTTCTTTTTGTTTGAGACAGGGTTTCTCTGTGTAGCCCTGGTTTTGTAACTTGCTCTGTAGACCAGGCTGGCCTCAAACTCAGAGATCTACCTGCCTGTGCCTCCAGTGCTAGGATTAAGGGCATGTGCCACCATCACCAGGCTCTAAAGCCACATTCTTAGTGGCATTAAGTTAAAAAAAAAAATCTGCTTTAGGAACTGTAAAAATGACTCAGGGGTTAAAAGCACTGGCTGCTCTTCCAGAAGACCCAGGTGTTATTACTAGCACCCACGTGGCTGCTCACTACTATATGTAACTTCAGTTCCAGGGTATCAGAGACCTTCTTCTGGCCCCTAAGGGCATGCAAATAGTGTAGACATTCATGCAGGCAAAATACCCGACCATACACATAAGAAAGGATTAAACAAAACAAAACCAAAAAACTCCTCTGTAACTGAATAGTAAATGAGATTAACTAGCACCTAACTTTTGATCAGATTTGAAAATCACATCCATGGCTTTAAAATGTAGCTAGTGGTGCTCAGCCTGGTGGCATACAGCCGGAGTAAGAAGCCAGACAAGTCTACATAGTGAGTTCAATGACAGTCAGGGATAGAGTGAGAAGGAGGGCAGGAAGGAGGGAGGGAAGGAGAGAGGGAGGGAAAGAAGGAGGAAGGGAAGGAAAGAAGGAGGAAGGGAGGGAGGTATAAATCTAACAAGAATAAATTATTATTTAAAAAAAAATATGGCAGGTGTGGCTGCAACTAGCACACAGGAAACAGATGATTCAGCTTAGAAGCCAGACTGAGCTAGAGAGTAAAACCTTCTCTTAAACAACAACAACAAAACAAAGTGGGAGGTAGGGGCAAATTCCTGTGGTAAAGACAAGACCAGTGAGCTCCGTGAGACCACAAATCAAAACAAACAAAAATCAAGCAAGCAAACGTCAAAGCACAGAAAATAATTTAAATCATGACTTCAGCTGTGTTTTAAAAAGCCAAGCCGTTAACCTTTACTTAGGCTATTAAAACTGCATTTACAAGAATGATGACCCAGTCAATTCTTTATCTCCATTCCTTCTTTTTGAACAGAGCAGTATTCAAATCTGAACCATAAAACTTTTCTTTACCTTATAAAGCTCGATTATGTCTCTCCCTCTTTTTTAGTGTCATCTTTTTTTAATAAGCTTATTTATTTATTTATTTACTTTACATCCTGAGCTTGGCTATCTCTTGACCTAAGAACTTTTCTTTGGTATAGGATAATGCTGCTTTACTTCAAGGTACACCAGGTGTGGTGGTATACACTTTATTCCCAACACTTGGGAGGCAGAGGCAGGGGGATCTCTGTGAATTCAAGGACAGCCAGAGAATGAGTTCCAGAAATCTGCGTGCACAAAACCACTTTTTACCCTCTTTACTTTATATATTTGCAAGGCCTTAATAGATTGGTCTCCTTTTGCTTGGTTTTTGCTTTCTGAGACAGACCTTGAACTAGAGTCCTTTTCTTCCCACCACTTTTTCTTCTGTTTTTTTGAGACAGGGTTTCTCTGTGTAGCCTTGGCTGTCTTGGACTCGCATTGTAGACCAAGTGGCCTCGAACTCACAGAGATCTGCTTGTCTCTGCCTCCCTGAGTGCTGGGATTACAGCCGTGCACCACCACACCAGCTTTGGGCATTCTTTCTCCCTTGAGCATTACAGGCGTATGTCATATGAGATTGCCATATATGCTACCAGGTTTTTGTAAACCATCACTACATTTATTTAGCGTGAGTGTGCACCCAAGTTTGTGCATATGCCATGGTGAATGTGGAGTCCTCTGAGCTCCAAGAGTCAGTTCTCTCCCACAATGTGGGTCTTGGGGATCAAACTCAGGTTGTCAGTCTTAGCAGTGGGCACCTTCACCCACTGAGCTATCTGCTACATATTCTTCTGCTTTGTTTATTCCATAGCAAAGGGTAGATTTTCAGGAAAATGGTGCTGAATTAATAAAAAACTAATGGGCTGAGATAAAAAAGAAAAAAAAAAAAAAAAAAGGACAGAACAATTCTATCTTCCATTCAAAGAGATTACTGAAACTATTAGAAAGAGTTCCACATTTAACCTCACCAATCTAGAAAACTAGCTGCAATCATCTTTCATTTCTTTGTTTCCACCGAAAGATCCATCCTGACCAGAGCTGCCCTCTTTGAAGCAATCCACAAAAACAGCACATTATTGTGCTTGTAGCCACCCTGACGATATATAGAAGCTTTTCAAAGCCTTTTAAATGAAATTGAATAATCACATTTCACAGTTTTGTTTTTTGAGACAGGGTTTCTCAGTGTAGCCCTGACTGTCTTAGAACTTGAAATATAGACCAGACTGGCCTCGAACTCAGAGATCTGCCTGCCTCTGCCTCCTAAGTGCTGAGATTAAAGGTGTGTGCTGCCACCACCACCTAACTACATTTTCATATTTTTTTCAAATTACAATATATCCAGCTACATAGTGAAACTATCGCATACAATAAAAATCATGTCAATTTTTATATATTTTTGGAGGTCACATTAAAATAGCCCTTCCCTACCCTTATTTTGGAGACAGGGACTAAGTAGTTCAACCAGCCTGGAACTTACTACATAGACTAGGCTGGTCTCAAAGTCACTGAAAATCACTTGTTTCTGCCTCCCACATGGCAAGATGAAAGGCATGTGCCACTCCAAGTGACTGGCCTAGAATTCTAGTTCCTCTGAGTGCTGGGATTACAGGCTGAGATTATAGGAATGCATTGCTATACTGGCCCTTACTTATATTTTAGTCATGTTGAGTGATATATATTGAAGGTTTAATGTAAGCCAGTCATTTAGATCTAAATTATGACTCTGAATCATGAATTCAACTTAATTAAGAGGTCTCACATGCTGTAGGAGTAAAGGACACTGGCCTCGGTCCTCCAGGATTTATTGGTGGGAGGGGTGGCATGATGGGAGGTGAGGATCTTGACTGTATCTTCACTTCCACAGGCGATCCAGGCATTGCTGGCACCCTTTTCTCACAACCAACTGCAAAGAATAAAAGAAATGAAGGTCAAAGCTCTCTATAAAAGAATAAAAAACAACAATTGGCATTGAACCTAATTCCCAGAAAACTTGAAAGTTGAGATGAAGCTTCAAGCTGGTCGGTGGTGGCACACACCTTTAATCCCAACACTCAGGGAGAAAGAGGCAGGCAGATCTCTGAGTTCAAGGCCACCCTCATCTACAGAACGAGAGTTCCATGATAGCTAGAGCTACACAGAGAAACCCTGTCTTAGGGAGAAAAAAAAAAAAAAAAGACTGTGCTTCAAAGGGTCCATGTCCTAACAGCTAGCTCTGTAAATGACACCTTATTTCAGGAAAGGACCTTCTAAGAATCTAATTAGTCTTTTTCTTTCTTTCTTTCTTTCTTTCTTTCTTTCTTTCTTTCTTTCTTTCTTTCTCTCTCTCTCTCTCTTTCTTTCTTTCTTTCATTTTGTGTGTGCAAGCTGTACCACGATATGTGTGTGGAGGTCAGAAGACAACTTCCTGACTCAGTTCTCTCCTTCTACTATATGGGTCCTGAGGTTCACATGCAGATTGTTGGGTTTGTCAGTCAACACCCTACTAGCTGAGCCACCTTGCAGGCCTCAGAATAAAAGATTGTGGTGGGAGTGGGAGGTGCTGGAAAGATGGCTCAGCTATTAAGAGTACTGTCTGCTCTTCCAGAGGGCCTGGGTTCAATTCCCAGCACCCCCATGGCAGATCACAACTGTCTATAAAATAACTCCAGTTCCTGGGGATCTAACACTCCCACAGACATAAACACAAGCAAAACACCAATGAACGTGAAAAAAAAAAAAAAAGAAAAAAAAAAGATGTAAGTGGGGATTGGAGAGATGGCTCTGTAGTCAAGATCATGGGCTTCTCTTAAAGACAGAGGTTCATTTCCTAGTTCACAGCCATCTCTAATTCCAGTTCCAGGCAATCTCACAGCTGGGGATTACTTGTTTTGAGCTCCTTTTTCTACCTGGCTCAAAGCCAGAGTCTAGCTATAAAACATTCTGGGCTACATGAGACAAAACCCTGACTCAAAAAACATTTTTAAAAAAATTATTTCTTGCTGGGCGGTGTCCCAGGACTTGGGAGGCAGAGGCAGGCAGATCTCTGAGTTTGAGGTCAGCCTTGTCTAGACTGTGAGTTCCAAGACAGCCAAGGCTATATACAGAGAAACCCTGCCTCCAAAAACAAACAAAAATTTATTTCTCAGGGTGTGGAGAGATGGCTCAGAGGTTAAGGACACTGGCTGTTCTTCCAAAGGTCCTGAGTTAAATTTCCAGCAAACACATGTTGGCTCACAACCATCTATAATGAGATCTGGTGCCCTCTTTTGTGTGTAGGCACACATGCAGACAGAATACTATATATTAAATAAATAAATCTTTAAAAATGTATTTCTCACCCAAGAGAACATATTAATAACTGGTTATTTAGCAGGCTCATCTTTAAATTGAACTATATCCCTTTCCTGTTTTTTTTTTTAAACATAAGTACTGTAGTAGCAGCTGACTTTAATTTCAAGTGCAAAAAACCCACAGAAAAAGTTTAAATGAGAGGTAAATTCAAAGCTTTCTTGTAGGATCACAGTTAATAAGATGGCATATTTCAGCATGTTCATACAAATCACAAGGCCCATCTTAGCATATTCACATGTTCTGAAGGGAAAGATGTCCCCAAATACTATTTTATGTTTCAGTTTGTAGTGGGTATATTTTGGAAAGGGATCTATAAATAAAGAGCCAAGCTCCACACTTCAAGTAACAACCCCTCTAACAAAACCTACAGTGTTCTGAAAACTATGAGGTTAGTTGCTGAAAACGTGCTGTCCCTGGTCAGGATGCTTTCTTTGTGAAATTGATGGTCGTCCTATCTGATTAGTGGACTAATGAGCTGTTACGCTTGCCTTTTTCTTCCTGCCAGTGTTTTCTCAATGCCCTTCAGAGAACAGTTGACTTGTTTCCAGCTCTTCCATCTGGGACCCAGCTTTCTGGAGGGGGTGGGAAGGAAGGAACCGACAGTTGTCTCACACTGTTATGTTATGTACAGTGTGCATCAACCTGGAGGGCATCTTTCTCAGACCACCTGTCTTTATAGCAAGGGTGCCAAGGCTGGAGGAGGCTCAGCCGTCAGATAGATGTGTTTTAACATTCAGCACTTGGCAGGATAACAAATATGGGTCAGGCCAACTCCAGAACGCTGAGTTGCATGCTTCACCTCCTGAAATCACTGTCAGTGGATAAAATCCAGCCTCAGTCTACAGGACACATTACCCACTTCTTGTTTACTTCACTATCTACAAACCAGCATCACTACAGTTTATTCCTACGTTCAAACAGTAATGACTATGGAGAGTAAAAGGGCTGATTTGGCTCATCCTGTTACTCATGACTACAAAAAGTTTAGCTAATGATTTCAGCTGCCTAAGTCTTGTTTTCAACACAAGTAAATGAGTGACGATAAAAACCACCTAGAAGCTATGAAAATCAAAGGCAGGGAGCTGGAGAGATAGCTCAGAGGTTAAGAACATAACTGCTCTTCCAAAGGACCTGGGTTTGAATTCTCAGCAACAAAATGGTGGCTACAACTGTCTGTAATTCCAGTTGCAGGGGAGCCAATGACTCTTCTGGCTTCCATAGGCATCCGGCATAAATGTGATACATAAGCATATATAGAGGCAAAACAACTATACAGCAAATACAAATAAATAATTAGGGGCTGAAAGCTGGACTCAGCGGTTAAGAGCATAGAGGTCGTTGCTTTTGCAGAAGACCTGGTATTTACCAGCATAAAAATGAAGAAATTGAGGCTATGAAAAAATAAATAAATTTTAAAAAATAAAATATGTAATTTAAAAAAGCTTTTTATTTTTAAATTTCTGTGTGTCTAGGTATGTGCTCCTCTGCCCATAGGGTCATAGGTATCAGAGGGTCTGGAACTGGAATTATAGGCAGTTGTGAGCTGCCTGATGTGGGTGCTGGGAACTGAACTGTGATCCTTTGCAAGAGCAGCATACACTCTTTATCACGGAACCATGTCTCCAGGGCCAACTAAATTTTATTTTACCTGTGAGTCCCAGGCTAGCCTGGAATATACTATGTAACAGAGGAAGACTTTCAGCTTCTAATCCTTCTGCTGAGTTATAGACTCAGGTCTGACTTTTTGTTGTTTGTTTTCCAGACAGGGTTTCTTCTTGTAGCCTTGGACTTGATTTGTAGACCAGGCTGGCCTAAAACTCACAGAGATATGCCTGCTTCTGCCTCCCCAAGTGCTGGGCTACAGGTGTGTGCCACTGAGCCAGGCTTTGTTTGCATTTTTTTTTTTTTAAATGAACCAGGCTGACCAGGCTGGCTTGAGTACTGCTGTGATAAAGTGTGTACCACTACACCCAGTTTCTTTTGTTTGCTTGTTTCCTGCTGACTTTCACTTTATGCTCAGTATTTTAAAAAAGAAGCTGGTAGTTGGGCTATAGGGGCATACACCTTTAATCCCAGAGGCAGAGATAGGTGGATTTCTGTGAGTTTGAAGCCAGCCTGGTCTACAAATCAAGTCCAAGACAGCCAAAGCTGTTACACAGAGAAACCCTATCACAACAAACTAAAATTAAAAAAAAAAAAAAAGAGCAAAAAGCTGGTATTACACATCAAGTACAATGGATGTTTTAGCTAATAATCTGGACTACTGAAACCAAACCAATAAAATGTTCCTTTCTTCCTCAATTTAAAAGTGTCTCTTGGGCCTGGTGGTAGTGGGAGCAGTGGTGGCTCACACCTTTCATCCAGAGGCAGAAAGATCTCTGAACTCAAGGCCAGCCTGGCAGGACAGCCAGGGATACACAAAGAAACCCTGTTTTAAGAACAAAACAAAACACCCAAACAAAGCAAGGCATCTCTTAGCCAAAATCAAGTAACAAACAAGTAAAAGGGATTGTTTACAGCTGGGATGGACAGTGCTGCCTGGCCATGGTGGGGCATCCCTATAGCCTTACTAGGACTGAGACTCTAGGTTTGCGGCCACTGTTCCACAGCAGGGAAGGCTCCTGTGAAAGACAACACTGATCTGAATCTGGAAGCTGTGCCTGAACCTGATGCTAATACTAACAACTGATTAGCTACAACAGAACCTGAGACAAGCCATCCCAGTGAGGAGGTGTTAAAATCAAGATGAGAAAGTGCTGTTAGACAATCCACACAGGCACTGTTAGCTCTCCCATAAGAACACATTAACAATCGTATGCCACAGAGTGTGGAGAGTAAATAACGAAAGGGGTTCTTCAGTGCTAATTATTTTAATATTTAAAGAAATGCTGTAAGTAGCCTGCCAACAATCAAAGCTTGTTGATAACCTTAATGCAAGTAAAAGCAGCAGCAACACAGCTGACCTGATAATGTAAATAGGGAAAAGTGAAATATGGATTGCTGTAGCCCAGTTCCAGCAAATGTTTATTTGGAATAGCAGAGTCTACTCCAACTGCACACCATCTGTTTCCAGTCTCCACCAAGGTAATATTTTTCACATCAAGAAATATGACAAATACCCTGAGCGTTCTGAGAGGCTACTTCTGCCACAGTCTAAATTTGCCGATCTTAACCTTTTAACATTATGTAGCATTAATGCCCCCACCAAACATTTGTTATTACAAAAGAATCCAGAAGCCTGAGACTATCAGAAAACAACTCTAGTCTTCTTAGTCAACTATAATCGTCACTTCATTTGCTTATTTGTGTGTGTGTGTGTGTGTGTGTGTGTGTGTGTGTGTGTGTGTGTGTGAGAAACAGAGCACTATGAACTTTCCATACCACTAATTAATGGCTCTCCTAAAATAGAAACTCAGGTCTCCCTAGTTCCAGCCACAGACACAACTGTGCTATGGTGTCTCTGGAACTAAGGCATAACCTTCTGAAACAAAATACATCAGAATAAATGTTGACAGTCTAACTCTAAAATGTTTTACAAAGTATCACATATCTCTGTCCACTGGTGATGCCATA